TCTTTACAATTTATAATGGCATTTTTGGACATCTTTTTTGCTGGAGATACTGTTGTCCTAAAAAATGTAAAAAATAAACAAATAAAAAACGTAAATAAAAAAAATCTTATACATACCCTAGAAAATTTGGTCTGTTTTAAAATTTGGACTTTTCCAAACCGCAGTTTACCTTGAAAACAGTTATCGTCCCATATCCAAACTATTGCACAGGAGGTCTTATAATTTTTGCCCCTAACTGTTTATTGCAATACAGTATATGTTACTTGCATTTGAGGTGCTTTCCTTGTCAGTACAATCACTTTTGTATGTTTAATTTGATGTAGACACCAAAATGAAATCACTTGTGTTTAAACCATTGATTATTCAATATAAAATAATTTGAATTCAGTATTTCAGTGCCATCAGCATTGGTCCCTGAAATACTAGATCACCCAGGAATGCATTGGATTCTCCATCTCTTTACATTTCTCAAAATCATTTGCTAAGCTTGTGTTGAAAGACAGAATTTGATGTGGTGTTTAGACTGACAGTCATTATGTTAGTGCATGATTTAACAGTGGATTACTGCTGCATAATCCTTAATACTCAAAGCTTCTTTTGTAAATCGATAGAATCATTTTGATCAAAGAAAACATCTGTTATTTTTTTCACACAAAACCAATAAGCAGAAATGATGCATTTCAAGCCTTCCTTCTTTTTATGACCGTTTCATGGGGTTAAAGCCAATATTTGCCATTGCTGTGTGCTGAGTCTGGGTTAAAAAGGTGAAGTAATTAAAAAAAAAGACTTTATGCCCTTTGGACCTTATAAACTTCATGTAATTTTCTTCTGCTGTACGTCTGTGTTTATAGTCTTGTTAGTTCCCTGTACGAAAATTGCTTTATTCTCTCCTGTCTCAGAGGAAATAGTGCAGTCTTCCTGTTTAGGCATAAGATTATTTGTCTTACACTGTTGGATTTGTGCTATTCAGCAGCTCTGTTTATTGACCTTATCTATAGTGGTTTTACTCATAATAGGCTTCATTAGCTTTTATGCTACCGAGGCACTGGTGTACTGTTGAGATATCCAGCTGTTATAATGGCTTGTGCTACTGAATCCATGTTGTTAAATTCACACCAATGTTTTGGATGACACTACACTTCAGAAGGAACTAAACTTACTGTCAGATAAAAACTACTGCTTGCTTCCCAGAAGCCCTTTTTTATTCCATACTAATTTATGGCGTGTAGAACACAACAACACAAGTTTTTTTGACACCAATGTTACTAAAACAAAGATGTGGGTGCCTGGGCGGGACTAAAAAATGAATAAATAAACAAAAAACATTTTAGAATCTGGTCCACAATGGCTTGCAGATGAGTTTGCACAGCATCATACAGGCATTTGATATGTTTTATTATGGTTTTATGAAGAAATCTTATTTCTGTTCAGTTTGCAGATTGTTATTAAAATGAGTTGTCATGTTTTGGAAGTTATGGTGTTTTGATATATTTTGTGTTGATCAACAGGATAATGACATTGAGCTGACTGGAAAACCTGAACGAGACAGTCCACTTCCATTATTTTTATTATTAGCTCATCTAATTAATTATGATTTCTTTTTCAGATCAAGTCTGTTTTTTATATTTATATTATATTATATTTTTTATATATTTTTTTTATTAGTATTCATTGTTGCTTAGCGTCACTGATACTTGGTGTGATGATGATAAAACTCATCATGTTTATGTATTACATAATGTAAAAATACTATGTATGCACTATGCATGGGCCGATATAAAATTTTGACTGTATGATAACCTTAGAGATATATATACCTACATATATATTTCACGATATTGAGATTACTGCTCAAAAATATATTCTTTTAAAATGTCTGGGTAAAAAACAAAACCCTTTTCCCCTTTGCACACAATACATTTTAGTTTGAGAAACATTTAAAATATTTTGGAGCAGTAAACATGTCAGGCTAAATAATTCAAATGAATCACTGACTTCTGCTGCCTTTATTGCTTTAAAAAAAGGCTGATTATTTTTACAATTTAAAGAGGCATCTTTGGAGATCTTTTCTGCTGGAGATACTGTTTTCCTAGAAAAAAATGTAGATAAAAAAATCTTACGGTACGGTATAGCAGAAAATTTTGACTGTTTTAAAACCTTGTCTTTTCCAAACAGTGGTATACCATGAACATGGTTATCGTCCCATGCCTAGTATACACCATAATAGATTTAATATTTTGGTATTATAGATCTAATACTTTTCTACTAATTCTGCTTATAGTTGAAGCTGAAAATTATTTTCATAAGGGCAATCAGTGCATTATTTACAGTTTAGTAATATCTCATAGTTTCAAACTATTTACCTTATTTTATTTTTTCTAAATGTGAGCTATTTTATGTAAACTAAAATATGTCATTAATCAGCCATTCTACAAAACATTTTTGTTGTTGTAAAAATACAGAAAAATTGTGTTTAAGTTTATTTATAAACTAATTTCGAGAAGATCACGTGCTTATGATTGAACACAGAGTTTCTTACCTTGGTTATCTTCGTTTTGAAGCATCCCCTCTTCCACCGCTTTCCCTTTTCCTTGATAAAGCAGCACGGCAGCCCAGTGGTTAGCACTGTTGCCTCACAGCAAGAATGTCACTGGTTCAAGTGTGCTTTTGTGGTTTTCCTTCGAGTTCTCCGGTTTCTTCCCACTGTCCAAAGACATGCGACATAAGTGAATTGACCAAACCGAATTGGCACTATAGACGAGCTCTTAATCAACAGTATATCTCTCCATAGCAATTGCTAATTTGCCAGTAGAAATAAATAAGCAGTTCTTGAGATCTACCTGAGCTCAAACTCCCCTCTCACCCAGCAAACGGGAAGGAGCCACAAGCTCAATGATCTTATGAGCTCAGGTCTCTCTTCCGGGACAGCATGCCAAACATGCTTTATCATCAGCTAAGTGTAAACTCTTGAAGTTACACTTACATTTAGTCATTTAGCCTTTGTCCAAAGTGACTTGCAATTGAGGGGGTACTTAGCATTTCAACAAAAACAGCTAATGCACACAAGAAGTACTAGTTATTCAAAGTAACTTGTCTGTGCTCAGAGAATTAACTGCTTTTTTGATCTCCTGGACCACTGAACTGGAAAAATCTGGAAACTGAAAAAAAAAAATCCTAGAGGGAAAATTAGTTTCATTTGTTAAATTTTCTTGTTAGACAATTTCCGTTTTCGTTATTGAAAATGAAATATGTTACCAAAAAAGTAAAGGCATGTCTGTGTGACGCTGTGACAGAAAAATCTGTATTTCAATGACTCTTTTGATTTAGGGATTCAGTAATTCATTCGTGAAGACAGCTGGTGCATCAGAAATTGCATACTGAGGTTTTTACTGTGTTTACTGAATTTAAATGTGCTTTTATAAAAATAATAGTAATAATAATAATAATGATGATAATAATAATAATAAAACATTTTATTTATGCTTTTCTTAAGTTTAAAGTGCTACAATAAATGCAAACAAAAGAGTAAATGACAAACTTGCATAAAATAAAAGTAGTAAACGTAGGGACGAACAGGCTTACATGATCCCATCCACATCAATGGGATGGCCGTTGAGCCTGTCTCATCCTTTAAGTTCCTGGGGACCCACATCTCAAAGGACCTTTCCTGGTCCACCAACACCTCCAGCCTGATCAAGAAGGCTCACCAGCGCCTATTCTTCTTAAGGCAACTGAAGAAGAACCAGCTTTCATCAGCCGTCTTGGTGAACTTCTAACGCTGCACAATAGAGAGCATTCTGACAAACTGTGTCACAGTCTGGTATGGAAGCTGCTCTGTTGCTGAGCGTAAGGCAATGCAGCGGGTGGTGAAAACTGCCCAACGCATCACAGGGACCACACTGCCAGCCATAGAGGACATCCAGAAGAAACACTCTTTGCGCCGAGCACGCAGTATTCTGAAGGACACCTTTCACCCTGCTCACAGACAGTTTTCTCTCCTGCCCTCCGGCAGGCGCTTCAGGCTCCCCCGGACAAAAACCAGCAGACTGAGGAACAGCTTTTTCCCCAGAGATGTCTCCCTCCTGAACTCTGCCCCACACTGACTCTTTTGCCCCCCCAATACACCCCCACTCTCCTCTAACTTAAACTCCTCGCAATAACTGCACTGTTTAACATTTGCACATTTAAAATGTGCACATTCACTGCACCACATTGAACTGTTTGCTTATTGAACTGTGCATACCCACTGCATATGGGCATTTGTAATTATGTACACACCCACTATACATATACACTTGTAATCATGCTTATTTATCTGCATACTACTGACTATTAATAGCAACCTGTACATATATTTATACATTGTAACATATAGACTTGTAATCATGTTCATCTATCCCTGTACATATATTCATACATTGTAACATATACACTTGTAATCATGATCATCTATCCCTGTACATCTATTCATATATTGTAACATATACACTTGTTATCATGTTTATCTATCTGAACACTACTCTTTATTTATAGCAACCTGCACATATATTCATATATTGTAAATCTGTTCATAGCTTATCCAACCTGTAAATAATGTTCATAGTACATCCATCTCTAAATATCACCATAGTTTTCTATAACTGCACTTTATAACTTATTCCTGTATCCTGCACTTGCTGCTATTGCACTGCTGGTTAGACCTAAACTGCATTTCGTTGCATTGTACTTGTACATGTGTAATGACAATAAAGTTGAATCTAATCTAATTTAATCTAAATTACAATGCAAAAGTCAGTAATAAAACCATAAACATAATTACAAATAGCATACAACATTCACAGTATAGATGCACCTTCTCTGATAAGCCAATTAATTGAGACCGGTTTTCCTGTCTTTTTAATATAAAGCCTATCAGTATCTGCGTCTTCCATGACTGACATAATATTGTTGTTTTATTATTGCAGTGTGGCTAACGTGCTTGTTTTTCTCTCCTTCTGCAGTGCGTCGGCTGAGCTGAACGATGGTGAAGCCAGACATTCACACTCTGGCCCACCACCTGAAGCAGGAACGTCTCTATGTGGCATCAGAGAAGCAGCTTATCCAGCGGCTCAACAACGAGGTGCTAAAGACAGCAGAAAGGCTCTACCGCGCAGCCTGGATCGCCAAACAACAGAGGATCAACCTCGACCGCCTCATTCTCACTAGGTGACACTCTTCTTGTTTCATGACTCATTAAATGTATCCCTGACTCATACCTGGTATTTAGATGTGTGTTTGTCTATGCGGTCATAAGTAGACAATGCTATGTACAGGTGCAAAATGTTTTGAGTTGTCCACTTTCGACCACTTCCAGAGGTGGTCAGTATACATTAGATCGGATTGCTCTAACAGTGTGAATGCATGAGTGCGGTTGAATCTATTGGAGCAGCCACTAAACACCACCTTCTCTCACCTATTGAGCTCATTGATAAACCCAGCTGCTGGAGAGGCCTATTTAAATCGTCATTGACAATCGTAGGTATTGTATTAGAAGCAAAACAATATCTGTATATTTGAAGCCAATATTCTCAGCACTCACCAATTTTTACAGATGGTTCAAAGGTGGAAAATAGCCTGTGCTTTACTTTTAGCATTGGAGTATATAGAAAATGCCCAACAAAATAAATCTGTTTTTTTACAGACTCCAACTCGGGCCTCCAAATGATGGAATCTACAAAAAATTATCATCCTGTGATTGATAATATTTTAACCAAAAGTTCACCGTCTAAAAAATCAGTTTTATCACATCATTTTTCGCTGGGTTCCAGGACATGTCGGGCTTTCAGGAAATGAGTGAGCTGATACAGCTGCTAAAGATGCTTTGAAGCAAGTGGTGAACCAATGTCAAATTCCTCTTTTGGAGATGAGACCTTTTATCAACGTTTACTAGGGATGTAACGGTATCAGAATTTCGCGGTACGGTAATACCTCGGTATGAATGTCACGGTACGGTATTTATTGAATCATTTACAGGAAAAAACAAAACTTATGAAAATACTCCAAAAAAGTGCCAAAAGTGTCAATGACATACAAATTAGCCATCTATCTGTAAGCTTTGAAACAGGAACTTAAATTTTAATAAAAAAAAATTATTAAACCATGTAAAAAAATAAAGTTTCAATTTAGTATTGTTGAAAACTCATCACATTCAACATTTAATCACACTCAGCCCATCTACCCAGATGAGAGCTCTGCTAGTCGGACTTCTCATCAAGCATCTCCCGCTGGATCTAATCTCACTATATTTATTAAACGGGATATTTCATTTATCTTGTTGTCTTTATCTAACGACATATTCCCTGACTTTGGGCATTGGAATCTATTACTTGTTCTCAGGTAACGTGTTTTGGCTGAGCGCAAAGATAAGTTAATGATTAATGTAACCACGTACATTCTGTATATTGACTGATCGCCTTTATTTCCTATAATGTAAAAACTTATTGTATGTTATACTTGTAAAATGGCCATTATCGATTCTTAAAACTGATACTCAGCAAAAGAGAGGCTGTGTTTCGTTTTTTCACTGAAATTGAAAGGAGGCAGTTGTTATCGGCTCCGTTTTGTTATAAATATCCACACAGTGATGACGCTCATGCAGCACGACGCCTCAACATTTCTGCTGTCTAAGTTGCTAATATTAAAATGAAAATAGGCAGTTCCTTAAATCATGTTTACATTTTATTGTTGAGAAAGTGAAACAACGAAGCCAGGGTGATGTGAATGAAGTTATAAAGTACACTGTTCCCTTTGAAGATTTACCCGTCTCCTCGGTATAATCTGCTTTTCCATATCAAACTGAGAAGAAGAGACTGCAGCCTTGATCAAACTTGCGAAGTCTGAACTTACACGGAGATAATGCAAGACTGAACTGTGCGTGTAAAGCAGGTCGCACACCAGAAGCGACGCTCGGCGGCGCGCCGCGCAGCGCCACGTATTTTAGAATTCTAATTATAGGTTTCTATCAGGATACACACACCGGCGCCGCAAGTCGGCGGCGCCCGGCGACGGCTCAGGACGCAGTTCATTTTTCAGCCGCGCCACAGAGCGCCATCTGATTAGTTTCATGTTAAATATCATTCGAATGTGCGCGTCTGGTGTGCGATACTTTAATCTGTCATGTACGCGCCGTGTCGCGGCGCTTCTGGTGTGCGACCTGCTTTAGAGTTTTCCAGCTCTTTTCATCCCCGCTTCTAGCAGCACACTCCATTTCCGCATTACTGGATCTGTAGCAACAACAGACCGCAAGGGATGATGGACAAGCATGGGCTGATGGCAATTGTAGTTTTCGTTACCTCCCGTTCGCTTCATTCGCCTGAGCAAATTTTCTCAGAAGACCTATAGTTTTACCGAGTCATGCGACTTCGGTAATATCGAAAAAAATTAATATTGCGGTATGACGGTATTTACAATACCGTTACATCCCTAACGTTTACATTTTAAATAAGTGGCAAGAGGAATGGGATGCATTGGAAAATAATAAATTACATGAAATCCAACCTAAAATCTCAAACAGAATTTTTAGACTGTTTAAGAATCTATTTGATCAAGTTATTTTTCTAGATGTCGTATTAGGCATACAAGATTAACTCATGCCTTTTTACTTAAAGATAAAGACCTCTTCCTTTACCGTAAAACACATTTTACTGGACTGTCCTGTTTTTAATGATTCTAGAAGACTTTTTTTATGAAATGAACTCTCTTAAGGACATTTTTAGTAAAGTGACACCAGAATTTTTAAAAAATTCTTATAATTTATTAACACTAAAATCGTATTTAACTTGTGTATTCATTTGTTTGTTGTTCTTAATTGTTTATTTATTATTGAAATGTTCTTGCCATGAAAATAGCCTTGGTTGCCGACATGACAATAAAAAAAAATACATTACATATTAGAAACAAAGACAAATCAGTCACGATATTTTTAATCTTTTTTTGTTTTACCTTGCAAAAATAAATAGGGTGAAATATGTCTCATACAGAGCTCATGCAGCGCTCGTGAACCAGAATTTTATAATAAGATACATGTTTTTAAAAATTGAAAATTATTTTATGCTATTTAAAGTAACATTCAGAAATGTGAGTTTAAGCCTCAAATCCTTTGGATATTTGGATGATGTGTCTTAGGGCTGGCTGTACCATATTGGAAAAATTGCGATGATTTTCTTTTAAAAAATAGTAATTTTTTTGATCAATTCAATTTCACCAGAAGGTAAATAGCTCTATTTGGAAAGAACTCATTTACATTGAATGGATGATGCTGTAGGAGATAAAATTATGCATAAAATATAAAAAATAATTACAAGCATAAATAAAAACAAAAGAGCAAAGATAATTAAACTGTGGATTTCTAGGAAAGGTGCAGAAATTGAATAATAAAACTGTCATCATAAAAATAACTCAAAATGATTCTTTATTAACCTCCCAGTGCTTAGTGGCCACATATGTGGACAGCACATTTTAGCTCTTAAGTGGCTATTTAAAATACTTAAAATGTTTCATATTTTGTTACAGACATACAGTGTCATCCTGCAACTGTTTTGCAGCATATGAAATGTCCCAAACACTAACTGTCCAAAATGGGAAACAAATGTTGTTTTTACTTTCTGATAGTCAAAACATGTTCAAAAATGTTCCGTGTTAAATATGCATTACAAAACAGTCAGGAAAAAGTGTTTTATGTAAATTCAGACCACGAGTCCACATATATGACATCATTTTTTTCTAAAAGTACATCATATCAAAAGATGATACTTAGGTTTTTATACTAATTAGGTTCCAATAAGCCCAAATAGCAAAGAGAAATAAAAACATGTTGGGCCTTAAGAAGTTAAAGTTACAAATAGTTATTTTTTTGACTAAATGCTTTAAACTCTCCTGAAATGCTCTTACATATACGTATAATAAACTTTTACTCCATTATGGTGAAACTGCAGTGATTCCACAAATCTCATGTCTTCTGATCTGGGGTGCTGGTCAACTGTAATATCTACATAATGATATCAATGTTGAAACTATTTATAATATGCAGCATTAATCTTAATATTGACCTAATTTATTTAATTTAGATGTTCTGAAATATTTACCATAAAAACAACAGCATATGAACATATAAGTTCCTTTAGACACTTCTGCACGGTAAAACTGTAAAACCGAACCGTATCTAGGCCTAATAAAAGTTTATGGGAAATGAAATGGTATCTATAATTTCATTAGTCAATGCGTAAAAGTAACTTGTTTATAAAGCATTTTAACTGTTCTGGGAGATTACTTTTAATATTATCTTTATAGTTTATGAAAACTGTGCTAGATTTCAAAGTGTTATAGATCAGAGAAATCCAATACTCACCCAGAAGAGAAGTTTTTGAAAGTTGACAAAATAAACGCATTTAAATGGCAAGTGTGAGCAGTAAGGTGTTTCTTTTGTCCACTTTTGATTAGATCAATGAAAATGCACCTTAATACCAGTGCAAACTAGTCCTCTGAGATCACTTTGTGGATTATCTCAGTGGTAGTGGCTGGGGAAAGAGCCGAATGAGTTATCTGGCTTTGCAAGTTCAGGCATCTGATTGACTAATGCTTGCTTTTATGTCTTGCATAATTTCAGACTTGGGAAAAATATTACTCAGCCTAATGTTCCTTCAAACCTGTATATGTTTTTTTTTTCTGTTTGAAACATTAAAAAGAAGCTTTCTTTTTTTCTTTTTTGCAGTTGTTCTAGTTTTGAGTTGCTGGGTTGTAGTTTTGTGCTGTCATCAGTGATAATACCATAATTGTTGTTGATTTTAATAAGGTGTGAACTGACAGCGAGTATGTCACTTTTTTTTTATTGTGTGCCAGTATGATTATAATTTTGATAGTGATTTTGTACAAGAACAGCCCACTATATGGTTAATATTTACAGAGTTACACTTTAGACTTAATGTTATATTTTTTCTGCTTTTCCAAGCAAACAAAACAAGAGCTGAAAATCATATATCTTAAATCTCTTTTAACCTGAACCATGAGAAATTCAGTTATTTCTTTTCATGGCTTAATTTGTCCATGAAACTGTAATTTTTAAAGATTCAGTTCAGATTCAGAAGAGTAATTCAGTCAATGACTACGTTTACATGGACATCAGTAATCAAATTATTTGTTTTAATCTGAATCAATAATATGATTAAGGTGTTTACATGAGTTGCTTTTTGAACATTCCTTTCGTTTTTTTTTTACATGTTACAGCACATAATTCGATTAACGTCATTGTCACCACAATATCCACATTTCCTCTGGAGTTTAATGTAATTTCGGGTGTTTCATTTTTAATTTGTCGACTTTAACTGCAGTTTCACTTTCATTCAGCAACATTTCATGCATGCCCCCCATGACAAACAAGATATTAGATGAGAGTAAGAACTGCTGGAAGAGTGTTGTTTTAATGGAATTTGATACTGCACGCTGAATGCAGGAATCTGTCGTCCTTCAATGCCTCTGTAGCTGCAGAGAATAGTGTCAAACAGCTGTGTGTTTATAGACTGTCCTGACGCAAAATACGGTGAAAATCCTACACAATGGTAATAGTTTGATTATTCCCTTTTAATATTGCATGATTAAGGAAATCAGCAAATATTATCTAGATATTTTTTTATCTCGACAGCATTTGCACCTTCACACCAATGAATTTCTGGGTCAATTTCTGGCTTATTTGGCATTTAGTCCTCTAAATATGTCTATTTTCTTTCCAGTGCCGAGGCCTCACCTGCAGAATGCTGCCAGCATGCCAAGTTTCTGGAGGACACACAGTTTGTGGATGGTTATAAAACACTGGGCTTTCAGGAGAGCATCTATGGAGAGTTCCTGAGCCGATTGAGGGAGAACCCGCGATTGGTGGCGTCCTGTCTGGTGGCAGGAGAGAGACTTAATAATGAGCACACACAGGGGGTCATACACACTGTCTTCACCACTCTCTATGGCAACTGCATCATGCAGGAGGATGAAAGCTACCTGCTGCAGGTAAAAGAAATGTATATTACCTACATACCTATGTAAATAAGGGAATAATATTTCCTATCTTACATACCCATGTATATAAGCATATATGTCTTTGCTGTTATATTACCTATAAGATAAGTATACATACGCTGGTTTACTAAAACAGGCCTTTTCTGACAAATTCTGACCCTACCATCTGAATAATGCAGCAGAAATCAAGACCAGACAGCATTTTTCAGATCTTCTGTTGCTTAAATTTAGCTTTTAGTTTGTTGTTGTTTATCGATAGTAGTTTTACTGGTGTAGCTTATCTGCTTCAAGGTTTGATGTGTTGAAAATTCACATATGCTCTACTGCAGACTTCAGTTATATCTAGTTGGTTATTTGAGTTACTGTCCAGTCTGACCATTCTCTTTTGACCACTAGGCATTGGATATTTTTTCTTTTTCGGATCATTCTCTTCTCACTGTAAAACTGTAGATCAGCAGTTTCTGAACTGATTCGGAATTAGTCCCAATAACTTTGCCATGTGTAAAGTCAGCTAAATAGTTTTTTCCCCTTCTTTTGATGGCTAACTGTTTATAATAATCATTTTAATGCGTTGATGTTTTGATCAAGAAATGATTCTTTTCGATTATTAAAACTAGAGCTGTGCATTTTGGACAAAAGAAATATATCATGATTTTCTTGAACAATATTGCGATTTTTGATTTTAATCACCATTTTGACACACAAATGTTTTACAGTGTGAATCTGAAACATTTTCTAAGGAAAACAATTAGGTCTTTAAGACCTGTAACAAAAAGGTGTAACAAATTGTGTGTGTGTGTTGTGTGTGTGTTTTGTGTGTGTGTGTGTGTGTGTACCATCAAACTCATGTAAGGCTCCAATGTTTTTCTTGACCACATATCAGAAGTAATACTTTTTTTTTTTTTTAGAGCAAAGCACGTTAAAAATAATGAAGGAAGCAAGGCGCTCATGCTTTTCATGCACTTTTAGAAGTGAAATGTGACTGACAAGTCTTACAAATTACCTGGCTCTTTGATGGATCAGCCTTCCTGTATCCAAAGTAATCCCACACCATAGATGTTGACTTTGTTAGAGCACAAAGTCTTCCAATGCTGAACTCATCATTCCTGTTTGTCATTAAGTTCTGTCTCCTGTTCTTGCCCTGTGTTTTGACCGAGGGTGTCCAAACTCGGTCCTGGAATGTCGGTGTCTTGCATATTTTAGTTCCAACCCCAAATAAACACACCTGAACCAGCTAATCAAGCTCTTTTTAGGTATACTAAAAACTTCTAGGGACGTGTGTTTAAGGAAGTTGGAGCTAAACTATGTAGGACACCGGCCCTTCAGGACTGAGTTTGAACAACCCTGGTTCAGACGCACTGTGTTATGATTGGTTTAAATAGCATACTGCAGGAGCACACAGAACAATCATGCTGTAAGGTGATTTTGGTGAAATTGTGCATGTTCAAATCGCGATTTTGACACTATTTCAATTAACTGCTTAGCCCTTATTAAAACTGTTGGGTTTTTGTGAAAACAATGATACCTTTTTTCAGTTTTCATTGTGTGAAATTTCTAACAACTGAACATTTATTTAAAATATAAGTATTTTATGACATTAAAATATCTTTACGGTAAAAATGTTCTTGATTAATGAAATTATTAATTTCTTTTGTATACTAAGAATTGGAAGTGCATGAAGTATATAAATATATACATGTTCGATGGTGTTAAACACTTATCCAATAGGTTTTTTGTCTAATTTTTGCTGTCCTACTCTCATCAGGTGCTGCGTTATTTGGTAGAATTTGAGCTAAAGGAAAATGACAACCCTCGTCGGTTGTTACGGCGAGGCACGTGTGCCTTCAGCATCCTCTTCAAACTCTTCTCCGAAGGCCTGTATTCAGCTAAACTTTTCCTCACCGCTACTCTCCACGAGCCCATCATGCAGCTTCTGGTAGAGGACGAGGACCATCTAGAGACAGATCCAGCCAAACTGATAGAGCGCTTTACCCCAGCCCAGCAGGAGCGCCTGTTTGGGGAGAAAGGCACAGACGAGTACCGCAGAAAGGTTCAAGCAGCAGTGGAGGAAAATGAGGCCAAGCTGGTGGCTCTTGTAAACACCTTTATCGGCTACTTGAAGCAGAACACCTACTGCTTCCCACAGAGCCTGCGCTGGATCGTGTCTCAGATGTATAAGACGCTGGCACGAGTGGAGAGGTTGGAGGTTGGGGAGGTGAGGACGATGTGCACAGACTTGCTGCTCACCTGCTTCATCTGTCCAGCCATCGTCAACCCCGAACAGTACGGCATCATCTCAGATGCACCCATCAATGAGGTGGCACGCTTCAACCTCATGCAGGTAGAGGATAATGCTGTAATGTTAGTTTTATTATCAGTTATATTACAAATTAGTGCTGGACAAAGATTGAGATATAAAGTATCCAACATAAAGGTTTGCATTTACATAATACAAGTAGTGTGTTTACTGTGTATTCGTTTGGTAAATAAACACACGCACGAATGCATATATTTTAGTAAATGATTATTTATTATATAAAATAGATATGTATATGATACAAATTAATTTTTATAGATACATTTTAATGAATAAAAATAATAATCTATGTAAAACTTTTGTTTTTAATTATGAGTGTGTATTCCCTATATGTAATAAATATTAACATCAATTTTTATTTGGGATACGATTACAGTATTTCCTCTAGAATTTTTTCCAGCTGTGGCTGTAAGCCTTTTTTACACAGATCTACTAACTACCTGTGGCGTTATTTCAATGACAAATGTCTTAAGCGCAGCATTACAAGTCGAGATCGCATTTATGCAATAGCTTACGAGCATGCAAATCTCTTTGCTTGCGCGCCGATTTCCTCTGCTCGTGCACAAAACTTCTTGTAGGCCCCCTCAAATATACGCTGCTCAAGCGCAGATCTTCTTGTGCACTCTTAAATAAATGCTGCTGATGTGCGATTTGGTTGATTTAGTTTATGTAACAAGTATGTCTCCAACATTTATTAGATTTGCTAGGAATATTTATGAATGTCTTCAATAGACCTACAGAGTGGTATAAATGCGTCCTGAAGTAAAGTGAAATGGCTATGAGTCGTGTTTGCTGGACTTGCACATCACGCACCTGTCAGTCAGCCAGTCAGCCAGTCAGTCAGTCTGCACGTTACCTTAAAGGTTCAAACAAATGACGCACAGCACTACTACGGTTACAGAAAAGTTTGCGCTGTTATAATCCACTTACCTTTTAATACGTTTTAGTGCGATTATCACTCGCTGTTAAAAAAAAAAAAAAAAAAACATGACTGAATGTTTTAATTGAAAAGCTGTAATGTAGCCGTTGTGGGATAAATTTTGTCGTTTATATTTGGGATATGGGATAAATATTTGCCATTGTTAATTTTAATACGTTAACTAATATTTACTAATGAGATTTTAGTATAATAATTTGTACTTTATCATCCTTTTGCAATTAGTTTAAAGCATTATTTGCTCTGAACATGTGAATACAATAACACAATACACCAAGTATTTTGGGCTTTTGTTATGCCTGTTAAAGTAATCTTAGATCAACATTGTGATATATTGTATACCAGGATAAAACCTTCTGCAGTTTATCACAAGAAAATTCAACAAGCAAAGCTAATTTTGAGAGAGAATTTTAGACATAATATTGTCCTTTTTTGTTTTGCTCAATATCACACCCTAAACTGTTATCTGGTGTTTTAGGTGGGGCAGTTGTTGCAGCAGTTAGCAATGTCTGATGCAGATGATGGAGATCCTCGACGTAAAAGCAGTTTATTAAAGTTTGACAAGGTAAGATGCAATCCCAATTAAGCCTGCACGATATTGGAAACAACTAACATTACATTGTTTTGTTTTCATGCGATATATATTATGACATTACTGTAACTTCATAAGATAATTTAAATGACTATTCTGAATTCATATAGTTTTATTGTGATAATTTTGTAGGGAGTTTGTTTATTATGAAGTACAGTAAACAAATTATAATTAGAAGAATAGTTTTTACAAAAGAACAAAGATACAAATTAAATGGACAGTGCTTTATGGATATTCAAACAGCATTGAGGTAAATGTAATGTAACAATGTAATATGATTTTAAACAATGTAATCAAATATAAAATAACACTATCAGCACTGTATAGTCTTCATTGTAATAAAAAATAAACATTTTAACTAGAAAAAAAAAACTAAAATTTATAATTTTGTAGTGGCCAAATGCTATAAACTAATTTGAAATTTTACTAAGCCACATGCCTTTTATTTGTTCACTGTAGTCTTGATAAACTTTGCTTGTGTTCTGAACGGTTTCCTGGTTAATTATAATCACAACTCAACATCGCAGAATTCTATTGGCATAATCAATACTAAACGATATATCGATACTAAATGCTATATTGTTAAGCCCTAATCCCAATATTGCAAAGCTTTCTTGTGTTTATATATGCTGTAGCAAATTCTTAGTAAAACCAACACCATTGTAATGATATGATTCTCAACACTATTTGATCACACAATTAAATATGTCACTGAACATTTGCTGATAAATTTTTTAAAGCCAAACCTCATATTTCCTCACATGACAGTGTGTATTGCAATTAGTGCTGTCAATCGATTAAAAAAATTAACTAATTAATCGCACTTTAAAAAAAAATTAATCACAATTAATCGTGATTAATCGCATTTAAAAGACTGAAACTTGCAGTTTTGGCTATTCGAGTGTAAAATTAATGTAAACGCAAGACAAATACTGTTTAAATTCAAAATATAATTCATTATTAGAATTTTTGTTTAACTTGTAACACAGATTTCTTCATGTAAACAACATACCCACAATAAACCATCAAGATCCTGGCTTGACAGCCATAATTATTACAGAAATAAAAACACAGGCATGTTAATGCCATTTGAATTTCAAAACAACCAATGCCAATAAAGAAAACATTGATTTCCATGTTGGATTCTAAGTGGACTGCAAAAAAATGCCAAAATACAGGAATTGCAGATATGGAAAATTTTAATAATAATAATAAAGTATAGAACATCTGTGCATGCCCTTGAATAGGTTTACCAACTCCCATTCTATAAAAGCACAAAAACCATATATAGGAAATAACGAGAGTTGACAAATTAAAAAACTACTTTTTTCATTTATTTATTATTAAAATAAAATCATAATCCACTCTGGAAATGTGGGTGCCTGTGTGTTTTAAGGGAGCCTAGAAAATAATGCGCATAACAAAAACTGCCTGCTGACGCACACAGTTAATGTTAATTAATAAAATAAAGATAAATAATAAAAGCAATGTGTCAGAGACCCTAAACAAATGTATAACTCAACAATGAAACATCAAACGTAGCTCACAGCTTTTACATTGTCAATCAAATGAACTTAAACAATTAAAAAATGCAACAAATATTTGTTTGGGCAGAACTACATGTAAAAAAAAGTTGCTTAAGTTGCACACTAGCCCGGCCCAAAAAGTATGTCGAAACAGTGGGAAACTGCCCGGCGTCTGCCCCTGGCCACAACAGGAAAAAAAAAAAAAAAGTGTTAATTGCATAAATTTTTTTTAACGCGTTAATTATTTCAAATTAATAGCATGCGTTAACGTGTTAATTTTGACAGCGCTAATTGCAATACATTGATTAAAGATTGAAATAAGTCAGATGGTGTATATTGTGTATCGACTCTAGTTTTTTGGTCTTTTCAGATGTGTGTTGCCGCCTTTTTGGACGTGGTCATTGGTGGAAGGGCTGTCGAGACTCCACCGATGTCGTCAATGAATTTACTGGAGGGCCTCACACGGACTGTTGTTTACATGACTCATAATCAGCTTTTAGCTTTGGTAAGTAATAAAGAAAAAGACACTCATGGAAGGAAGTTAATGTCAGCTGACTTTTATGGTTACGTCATCAAAAGTACAAATGAGCTCAATGTTGCCTTTCGCAAGGTTGAATGAAATAACAGGCCTGAGTAGTATTGGAGTGTGGGGTTTTGTAAGAATTCGCACTATGACTTGTTATATGAGTACTCCTTTGCACTTTCACATCCTTTTTTTTGGCAAAATGTTAGGGCTTCAAGAAATAGATTCAATGTTTCCGGAACAGCTCTCTTAAGATGAGTCTTTTTTTTTATTTTTATTTCAGCTTAGTCGATAAATATTCTGAACATAAAATTGACAATATTGTACATGCAGTAAAAAAGATATTTGATTTAATATTTACTTATGATTCTGTAAAATATAAAGATTTTCATCTTTATGTAATGTCATGTATAAATAAATAAACAATTAATAATACATAAATTTAAATAAAATGTAATAAATAAATTTACAAGAAAAAATTTATATACATTTTAAAATAAATAAGTGGAAATAAATAAAAGTGGAAAAATACTTGTGTGTATAAATCTAAAAAAACATGTATGTATTTATTTATTAATTTATTCATATTTGCCCTTTTACATTTACGTGTTACAAATAAAAATTATTATTTATACATTTGTAATTTTGTCAGACTTAGTGTTTCATACAGCTCCTGCACGTGAATCAGTACACAAGGACATTAACACAAAGTCTGATTGCACAATTGCAGTTTTTTTTCTTTAATTGTAGTTAAATCGAAACTGAAATTCTATTACCAATATCCAATTCCTGTAAGCGCTGTTAATAATGATATTTAGATGTATATGTAATTATGTGGTTTTATGCATTTTTGAGAACTACGAAAACCAGAAAACCCCTACTAAAAATTTATGATATTCTAAGTGTGGTCTCCTAGCTGTTCCTAAAACTCATCTGCGATCTAGGGTCGACAGGGTCTTTTGTCATTATGCTGCTCGCTGGACACTCTATGTACAGTTGAAGTCAGAATTATTAGCCCCCCTTTGAATTTTTTTTTTCTTTTTTTTTTAGATATTTCCCAAATGATGTTTAACAGGGCAAGGACATTTTCACAGTATGTCTGATAATATTTTTTTTCTAGAGAAAGTCTTATTTGTTTTATTTCGGCTAGAATAAAAGCAGTTTTTTTTTTTTAAACAAAATTTTAAGGACAAAATTCTTAGCCCCTTTAAGCAAATTTTTTTCCGACTGTCTACAGAACACACCATCATTATACAATAACTTGCCTAATTACCCTAACCTGCCTAGTTAACCTAATTCGTCTAGTTAAGCCTTTAATCATTAATGTCACTTTTAGCTGTATAGAAGTGTCTTGAAAAATATTTAGTAAAATATTATTTACTGTCATCATTGCAAAGATAAAATAAATCAGTTATTAGAAATGAGTTATTAAAAATATTATGATTAGAAATGTGTTGAAAATGGTTACTCTCCATTAAACAGAAATTGGAAAAAACAACTAAACAAACAGGGGCTAATAATTCTGACTTTAACTCTAGATAGATATAGATATACTTCTATAATTGTTGTATCATTAATGCATGTTGTCTTGATTTGTATGTAAAGTGCTTTAAGAAAGTAACTTTTACAGGTGCTATATAAAATAAATGTATTATTATTATTATTATTATTTATATTATTATTATTATTATTATCATTATTATTATTATGTCCATTTCAGTATCTTTGCACGTTCAGCAATTCTTTTACTTATCTCTGCTTTGTCCATGATACATTTTCATCCTTTTGCCTTTTATAACAGACCCAAAACATCATAGTATTGCAGACAGCCATTAACTGAAATTTCATCATACCTTTCTCATTTTGTTCTGTTTTCAATCACCTCTATTCATTAACATGTTTCTTTAATAATACATTTTTTAAGCATTTTTTCGTAATTTTACAATCACCTTTATTACTCAAATTCCTTAAATAATATATTTTTATACAACTTTTTTATATTGATTATCCTGACATTGTTTAAGAATCTGTTCTATGATTTCACACCACATACTGTATACAAACTTTTTAAAGTTGTCCCTGTTTTTAACCTCCTTAGCTTTTGTTCTTCTTTCAGGTTAAATCCCTCGTCTTTCATCAAATTTTTTTTATACATTTGAGAAAAAAATATTTCTAGCTTCAAACATAAATTGTGCCATTTTAAATTGAACTAAATCAATAAACTTAAGTATCTTCAATTTAGAAAATAAAGAACTTGTATGCTTCAAATATCCCACATTTTCTATCCTTCTAATTACCTCTGTATTGTGCATACGGGTTGTAAAATTAGATTTATATATATTTCTACAAATTTCAACACAAAAGCTCCTATTTGGCAACACAAGTGTGTTATATTATACATATATTGATTTATTGCCCATCCATCTCTGATATAGAGCAAGCAGTTTCAGATTCTTGAAAATAAACTTCAAATAAACGCTTTGATATCAGGGCCTTTAAGCCAAAATGTAGCAGCCAAGTAAATCAACGACTTTTTTCTGATCTGATATTTTACAGTTTATTAAATTGATAACTGTATCATGTCATTTATTAGTGATTACTAATCACTTTTTTATTCCTTTGGCACCCTTAACCACAACATATCACTCAGCTTTTTGCCATAGTCAGCTCTTACACAATATCTATAAAAAGTTCTCGTTCTGTCAAGAAACAAGAGATTGCAAAGTAGGCATGTCTGAACCGGTCCCGTTAATCCAGCAGTAACAGTCGCTCCACATACCTTCAAAGTCGTAATGCTTTAACTCTTCCTGCCCAGCACTGCTAACAGCTAATAACCCTGCCTTTCCCAGTTTTCTTCTCCGCAAGAGCAGCAAGGTGTTCATCATCGCACTGTCATTTACAGAGCCAATTAGCCCGACTCCTATGTTGTTATTGCATTAGACTCACTGTTTGAAATTCACTAATGATGATCGCTGAATAATGAGGCCCACCTGCTTTAATTACCAGGACTGATGAAGAATGAGTTCAAAGATTACCTGAAGACATAAAGAAATCTTATTGTGTATCTTTATAGGCCTTTTTTTCGATATGATATCGAAAAATACCTATTTTTTATTTTTTTTTGCTTTGTTTCCACCAAAATAAAATGTGCAGTGTGCAGTCGTTTCACAGATTCCCGCACTGGAGTTTTTGTTTATATTAACCCATGAATTGATTTAGTATTGTTGTAGTTTAGATATGTAGTTTATTGACACACTGTTATTTCCATCCACCTATTTTTTTGCACATTTTAGAATATTCAATAAGAAATGGTTAATGAAAACTGCAAGATGCTCATATATTTTGAAAATTTGCATTAAAAAAACTTAATGCGCACAACTGAGTTGGATTAACTTTTTATCCAATACCAAAATATGTGCATAAGCTACGATGGAAAGTCATTTGCTAAACAAATTTCAGTTTGCGCATCAAAAGTTTTGTGATTTTTGTTTTGACAAATAAAGATAAAATGGGACACAATGAGATTGTGGTAATGGAAAAACCTGCTAGCAGACCACATTGTAAAACATCTGAAATGTTGTTTTGGTCTTACTAAAACCTCTTAGTCCATGTCCGTCATTAAATTGGTTCAGTATTATTACCTCCCAGAGCGGTCTCAGACCTCTAAAAACCAGTTAAGACTGTTCATTGCGTTTTGTCTTTGTCTTCTGAGGCACAAGTAATTTTTCATATAAGAAAAGAATCGCACAGTGGCTTCTCCTACCACAGAAAGTCCGGTTAGATATTTGATGATCGTTTTATCAGGAAGTGGCGATTTTGCTCTCTTTGACAGGAAATGGTGCTTAATATGCAAATGTTTTATGCAATATTCTAGTCTAAGGATGTACTCACACTAGGTTATCTGAACATCGGCCGGTTGCATTTCCCGGTTCATTTGACAAGTAAGGGCGTACTCGCACTATGCTATCCGAAAGGTGCCCAGGCTGGTTTCCTAGATTGTTTGAGAAGTGTGAGTGCTCTGGATCGGACTTAGGCACGGTTCAGTTAGCCAGCCCTGGCCCGGTTGGAAAAGGTGCCAAAGCACTTGGGCTGTGTAAGTGCAAAGCACGCCTGAGCCTGAAAACTGAAGACGAGACGTGACTTTTAAGAGACTGTTTCATATGGATTAATTAATCATTCTTACTGTTTTATGAACGCAAACTGTCGTAGATTATTAAAGACGCAAACCCCTCAGTGGACGACAGCTGCACCTTTAGCAAACCTCCTAATGTCTACAGCACGAAGACTTTATGATTGCTTATGAACATCAAAAGTTGCTGATCTGTTCTGCGAAATATCTGACTGCGTGTCACTGCCTCCCAAAGTCAGAAACGATATAACGGTATAAAGAAATCTCCACTGTGCTGTGAGAGAGCGCTTTTTAAACTGAACAGCGCATCATCGATGATGTAGCGAGCTCGGGCCGAATGTAATGAGAGTGAGGGCCATTGCGGAAGATGGGAGGGGGCACAAGCGTGCTTCAGCCTGATTCAAGGCAACTGTATATAGTGGGAGTACGCCCTGAGAGTGTTGACTGTCCCTGGCCCAGTTGGAAGAGGTGTGCCAGAGCTTGGTTCGGTTGGGCTTTGGTGCGGTACTCCCCAGGGCTTATTTGTGCCAAAAAGCACCGGATCCGGCACCTCTGTAATCTGATCTGGCACCTCATTTTACTGATCCCCCGTTCATTGTTCACTTTCACTTTCCCAACCCTCTTCACTTTCGTCTGCGACAAACAACCGCTCTATACTTTCATCCTTAATCCTTTCAATCTGGACACCCCTCCGCCATCTAACATTTAATCCACTGCACCCACCCCCTGCTCTCCACTTTCGTGCGTGACACCTCTCCATCCTCGGGTTACATGCCGGATCGGTTACTCCGATCTGTTCCAGGACCTCGCAATTCACAAATTAAGCACTGGGTGTGCCTGTAGTGTGAGTGCAAAGTGCGCCAGAGTGCAAATCTGAAGACGCAACGTAACTTTTAAGGGACTGTTTAACCCTCTGGGGTCGAAGACCACGTATACGCGTTTTGACAGGTGGTGGCGTCAAACTGCTGAAATGAACTTAAATTACACTTTCAATTTTGATCGTACAGATAAGATCAGTACATCAATTGAATCTGTTAGGTGTCTACTTTTTGTTCTGTACACTCACAACAACAACAAACGTGTGTGCTTTTGCAAAATAAGGAAAACAAACAGTGTAGGCATTCTGTCTTTTCTCTCTCCGTGAACTGCTTTTAGAAACGAGTCAGTAAAATGCGCTAAAACTCAGCGAATACAAAACGCACACAGATGAGAAATGTATTTCTAGAAAACTTAAAGTGTCTACTTTTAAACGCAGCTATGCATGTTGAAAACAAACATTGCATGATAAAGTAATCAGTATGAAACCAACGCTATGTCTAGTTTCTCAGTCTGATCTCATTAGTTTTAATGCGACCACGCCCACGAGGCATTGTTATTACAAGCGTCTAAGGCGCGAGCAGACTGTGGTCAGAAAAACACGTCACTAAAATGAAAGGAAACGCAGCAAATAGTCAACAAAGAAGATAATTTATGATATCTATATAAAGCTTGATATGTCTACTTTTGCATTAACCAATTCAAGTCGAAAATAAATGATCTCTTTTTTATGTAATCCGTATAAAAGTAAGGACTGTACGGATTCTCCTATATCGCCTCATTACAGCAGCGTGGTCCCGCCTCTCAGTAAGCGCGCTTCATATGTAAATTCAGATGTGAAAACAATGGAGGTAAAGGACCAGTGGCAAAGAGAGCTAAAGTAGACAAGAAGTACTCCGAGTTTGCTCAGTAATGAGAGTCATTCCGACAAACTATTAGATGAAGATGTAGCCTTCAACTTCACAAAATGTTTAAAAACGCTACAGAAGTGGACCAAGATAAAAACAATCCTGCGTCTGTCAGTCTCTGCTGATGTCAAGAAGAAGGCCAGCGGTTACAATAAAATACTGCTTTTTTCCTGCCCTGCTCCCCATCACAGGATACCTGTCTGCAAGGTTACATTTCTAAGTGTCCTTTGTAAGTTTATTATTTAAATAATTACTGTGAATACTGAATGAGAGGATGATAACTTGCGCCAAAAGCTGCTGTGATGCACGCGACTGTTTAAAAGATTTCATTTTCGCACATGGTGTTGTTTTTCACCTGCTTTCTTTTGCTTACAGTAATTTTTGTTAATATGGATTAATTATCACTCTTTAAAATAACATTGCTCTAATATGAGATTACCAAAACTAACTCAGAATCGTATTATTATAATTTAAACTTTGTATATACTATTCCATATATTATAATGTATTGTTTTTTTTAACCATTTTAAGATGTTTGACAATGTTAAAATAATATGTTGCATTTTGGCATGTTTTTGACTTATTTATAAACTATTTATAGATATAAAGTTAAATTAAAAATATCCTGGATTTGAAGAATATTGTATTCCTGGACTTCACTCAGCTCAAGAAATAGTTTAATTTATAAAATTTTAAATGAACTTGACTGTTGATGTCTTAAATAATAATGTCAAATAACCAACATTTCTCAAAATGGATAAATCTAATTTTGCAACAAAACTCATTTACAAAAAAAATAAAAATAAAATAAATAAAAAATTAAAATCTGTAGATTTGCTATGTGTAAGTTTAAAAGTTTGCAGAGTTTTATACAGTGTACTGACTCTCACAAGTGTATCTCCAGTTATTTTGTGTGATTAATATATTTTAAATAAACTGCAAACAAAAAAGTAAATAATCTTTCCTCTGATTCCTTCTTGAAACTCTTCCCTCCTAGTCACATACTGTACCTGTCTGATGGCTCATTATGCAGCTCATTATGCAGATCTTTGTCTTCTCAGGTGTGACTCACTGCATAGTAATGATAGTTCACACCTTCCCGCATGAACCAATTTCACTCAAAAAGTGACTTAGAAATTTTAATCCATTATATTGTTTTCTGTGAGCAAGTGAACAAGATGATTCTCACATCATTTTAAAGTAAAAACACTAGACTACCAGATCCAATTCTCAAAGGTCTTGTGCACAAATGTTCTCTGTGTGTTTCACGGCCTTGTTTCAGTGATTTCAAAATTTTTGTTTTTCACTAACCACGCATAAACGTTTCTTTCTCAAAAACACAAACACATACAAACATGCTGCTTGGGTATTATTGTAGCCCAGCTTGTGCTGTTTACAGTGTTATCACACGTTAGCCATTTATATATTTTTAAGATGCTGAAAACAACACAAATGTCAGTGCATGTCAAAACTTTTCCAGAGCCCCAAAACACCCTCAGACCCCAGAGGGTTAATTTAAATTTAATAATCATTCTTATTTTTTTAATGAACATGAACCTTGCTGCACTTTCAGCAAACCTCCTAATATGTGCAGCACAATGATTTTATATAAGTTTATGAGCATCAAAAGTGGTGGATCTGATGAAGGGGAGGCGGACAATCGCACCCTGGCACGGTTCAATGCAACTGTGCCTAGTGTGAGTACACTTTAATTTGCATGTTTGGATGGAAACGGCTATTGTCATGTCATGATGTGTGAAAGACAATCAAAACACGAGCATCTTCACTCAAAGGAAAATGTATTTACTGTAAATAGAATGATTAGTATGATTGTTACATTATCATCACATGATTAGAATCATGTATTAAGTAATATACAGCAGGTCAATAGCACCGGCTCAGCTGTACAAACTGTTGACTGGTGCGTCTGTGTATATATTTTTTAAAATTAATATTTTTTTTGTGCAAAAATTATTTGTTAATGTGCATAATTTATGTTAAGCATATTAAGGAAAATCAGGCGAATGTGAGGACTTGAACGGATTACTTGAAGACACAAAAAGTTTCATTATATTTCATAAGAATTCAACTTGAAAAAATAATCTGAATTTTTGTTTGAATACGTTTGCCCACATGTTAAAACTTGTCTTATTTCTGTGTCCAGGTGGACTTTGTGCGCAGTGTTACAGCAGGCGATCAGCTCAGAGAGGAAGAGCATCTGGCTCTAGAAACTCTTCTTGCTAATGTTCCTCAGTCCCGCACAACAAAGAGCAACAGTCTGGAGCTCACGCCCTCAAACACACCCCAGCTCTCCCCTGCTACTACACCTGCAAACAAGAAGAACAGACTCCCCATTGGTATTGCTTCTATTTTAACTTTACCATTGATGAAGCAGAGACTAACACTGGTGATTGAAGCAGAGACTAACACTCTGATTTACACGCTTGTTTAAGATGTTCTTTTGATGAATTGATTCAAAATACATTAAACAAATTGACTTTTTTTTTTTTTACTTAATAAACCCACTCATTCCGATAGCTAACTGAACAAACTTTCTGTATGTTCATATTGAAAGCAAATTTTGTGCTTTTAAGGATGTGAAAGTTAAAATCAGTGCCATTACCAAAAAGTTTCTATAACTGTGTACCTTTTATGTAATGCATAATTTACATTCTCTCTCACACACACACACACACACACACACACACACACACACACACACACACACACACACACACACACACACACACACACACACACACACATACACACACACACACACACACACACGACAAGCAGGAAATGTTCATGGGCTAGTGACATCACTACATTGAAATAGTCTATTTCAGTGGTTCTCAAACTTTTTTCAACAAGTACCACCTCAGAAAAAATGGTCTCTCCAAGTGCCACCATAATTTTTCTACTAGTAGGCCTAATTAATCAGCTACAGCTCTGCGCAGTTCAAAACGTGATTAATTCTTCTTATTAATCATCTTTATTATTGTCAGCCACTTTAAACATTTTAAATAGTTTGAACAATAACACAGCACTGTGCTTATAGGAAAAAAATAAAATAAAACATCAGCGTTTAAATTAAAATGTGATTTTTCAAAGTTAATTAAAAATGGCACTTTTCTTAAAGTAAAAAGAAAACTGCTGTATTTAAATGTAAAGTATTATCATATAGTAGCCTATTCATCAAAACCTGGAAATGTTCCTTGGACCTCATAAATATAGGCTATATGTCATCATATTAATGTTCAAACTCTTTTTGGTAAAATTTTAAATATAGAAAAAAGTCACATATACAAGCAACATATATCTTTAAAATCTGAACATTAACTTGTATTTCAAATATATGAATTGAATTTACATACTTAAATTAGAAATTAGATCTGCTCACTGCTGATTAGAGTAGGCTTTGTCTGTCCGAAAAGCAAGTGATTAAACCATACCTGTAGTGTTGGGCCGATAGACGATGCTATCTTCCATCGCTGATGGACAATAGAGAACACAATGCTGAGCCGGCATCGCGATCCTTCGCTCTACCCCTGTCACAAACTCACTCTCGAAAAATACACACTTAGGCCCCATTTACACTAATACGTCTTAGTGTTAAAATGGCATTTTAGAACAAAAATGATCCACACCAAGTTTTACATAGTATTTTTGAACAGCCCTCCGTCCGCTGAAAACACACATCACATGACCACACAAACACAGCCACACACTGTCATGCACACAATAAGTTGCGCACCCTTCTCACCCAAGGATCCCTCCTCCCTCTTCAGACACGTCGCGCGCACTCTGTCAAACAACCCCAATGTTGTCTTAATGATGCCATCGTCCATCACGATGTTTCACATTAGACATCGTACAATGCCAAATTGGTCGACATCGCCCAACCCTACATACCTGTCGACATTGGGATAAAAAAATACAGGATACGCCTCCAACAACCGTTACAAATATGGAGACTAAATTATCTTCAAATGATAGAATACATAACAAACATTTGAAAATTGAAAATAGAATAAATGAATATTTACTGATCACATCTGTGTTACTGTACGTATCAAAGGATTAAAAGCGTGTTCATTTCTTTATTTTAATTATTCAGCAGTTCCTCTGAGTACCACTAGAAGGAAGCCTGCTTACCACTTGTGGTACACGTACCACAGTTTGAGAATCACTGGTCTATTTCATATCTGATAAATTTTACATATAAATCTATAGTCAACTTCTTAACACACTGGAACAGCTTTTCTGCATAACCTAATCAGACATGAACATTAGCTGGTGATCTTCTGTTAATTACCTACTGTTTGTTCTTCCACTCATTTACTGATCTTTAACACACTGTGAATCTTATCCACCAACTCTCTGATTCTCCCCTTCTGTCTCTTCCACCTTTTTTTCTTGCCTTGCTGACAATGATCATCAGGACAACAGTTGGCAGCCATAACATGTTGGGAGCCCTCTGCCACCTCCCTGTCCGCTCATATACCCTTAGTAACCCCGTTTGGTGGGTAACCCTGCTGTTCTACCATGACTGTTAAAACCCCTGTTCATCCTCCACCTCCCACCGCTTCATCTGTGCTTGGCCAGTGTTCGCTGTGTTTGGCATGTGTGTCACTGCTTTAGCTCATCTTGGTTGCATTACTTGCCTCTAGCGGTACACAAGTTGTTGTACTGTAGTTGCTCAGACAAGCAAAGACCATTTATGAGCATCATAAATCTTGTAAAATGTATGGCCACCTTTTTCCAGCATATTCCACACACGTTATTTTTCTTGATATTGATTCGATTAATTTGGTTTGCATTATTTACTGAAAACGGGGCATCGGAATATTGAAACAAGTCTTTCTAAATAGGTTTTATTATACGTAAAGGGGGACAGTACAGGTTTCTTTTAAACAGTGCGAGACTAAACATGTTAATCCTTCTAAAAGTCTTATTAAAAGTAGGCATATCCCTTTCCACAAACTTCCATGATCGACCATTGTTTAAATGAATGATCAATTATTAAATAAAATTTTAAATGTAATAATGTGTCTGCTTCAGTGGCATATGACACTCAAAACACACACAGAGGAAAATGTTTTTTTACTGTTATTAAATAGCTAGTAAGAGTGTAAAAAGAATCAGTAGTTGATGATTTAAAGGTGCCATAGAGTGCATTGATTCAATATTTGAATTGTTCACTGATATCTGCATAGTAGGCGTGTGGCTTAAATGCAAAAAAAAAAATCTCCAGAAATAGTTTTATATTCTTATTTACAACCGCTGGAGATTAACACTAAAATTATAATTGTCTACTAAAGTGACTTACACGGTTATTTCCACACAGGAAAGAGTTCATATCAACCGCTACATAAACCTATATTATATTTTTATAACAGTTTATTGAATTTCTTTGACTCTGAGAGATATGACAGGGTGCATAAACGTGTATTAAACACTTATAATTAGCAGTTTAAATGTTTTGTTGCCTCACTGCAAATATATTCACAGTTGATTTTACAGTATACACATTTATTTAATTAAACTAACCATAGATGCATTCAAACACACCTTATTCCGCTTCATGGTGGTGCTAAATATGTTTATAATTTGTATATCCTGCATTTTGAATTATGAAAGGCTGTAAACAAATAAGATGGCTATGATGTTTGACGCTCGCAATATGTCATTCCCATGTACTGATCTTTTATTGTTCAGCTATGCCTAAGTATATCCATATTTTCATTCTGTGGCAACCTTTAATATAAACATTGGTAACACTTTATAATAACTACACACTATGAATCATTTATTAAGCATTCACATCTAGTGAATTCATTATTTGTTAAGAATTAACTCTACATTAATAAACGTTAGTAAGCAGTTTATAACTGCAGCTATGAATGCTGTATTCTTGACTTATAAGCACATTTATAATGTGCTTAATAATTGTACTTTCATACTTTGTGACGGGTTGATTTTTCATGACTAAATAAAGTATTGCATTATTTACAAACCATTTGTTCAAGAGTAGTTGGAGGTTTCTAAGATCATTTAGATTGAGTTAGTAAATGATTAATAAACTATCGAAATAAAGATTTATTCATCTTATTCAGACATATGGTAATGGTTAGTATGTATGTTAATAAATGCTTTATTAACTCAACTTCATGCAGTTTTGTGACCTAATCTAAAGTGAGGAATATTCATGATTTATAAATCCCTTATAAATGTCAATTAAAGGCTTAGTCTTAAATAAACAATAATCTTTGCAATCTTATCTAAAAAGTAAAATTACTGTAAAATTAAACATTAGGAATGTCAAAATATGCCATAAATTATATAAAAGAACTACAATATAAATAATAATTTAACAATAAAATAGGATGTGACGTTTAAACTGTAAAGTAATTTTATTTTTGATTAGGTTGCAAAGATTTATTTTTACTTGATACAGCTTCATTTATGTATCTTCAAATGAATAGAAATTATTTTTTTAATGTTTTTTTTCCTGTTTACAATTTAACTGAGTTTTTAATTGGGATTTATAAGGGATTTTATAAAGCATAAATGGTCCTTACTTTAGATTAGGTCACAAAACTGGATGAAGTTGAGTTAATAAAGCATTTAGTAATATACAAAGTAACTTTTCATTTATGCCTGAATAATAAGATGGATAAATGTTAATTAGAATAGTTTATTAATCATTTACTAACTCATTCTGAATTATCTTAAAAACACCAACTATGCTTAAATAACTGGTTTGTAAATAATGCAATACTTTGATTTAATAACGAAAATGAATTATTAACAAAGTATAAAAATACAATTATTAAGCACATTATAAATGTGGTTGTAAGTCAAGAATACAGCATTTGTAGCTGCAGTTATAAACTGCTTACTAACGTGTATTAATGTAGAGTTAATGCTTAACAAATAATGAATTCACTATTTGCAAATGCTTAATAAATGGTTTATAGTGTGTAGTTACTGAAACATTTAATAAATTGAATGACTAATAAACAGCATGTCAATAGCGACGTCTCAGATGTATACACGGGTCAGCAAAAAATCTGCTAAAAGTTTTTAGTACTGTTAGTGTGTTTTTTTATTTTCCCCCAGATGTGCACAGGCTATTGTGTAAAATCTGGAAAAAAGCCCAATGATTATGTCTCTACATCTTTAGTACTTTATGTGCTGCACATTGACATTCATGATATTAAATGTTGCTGAGGTAATTATACCAGTTGATTTAGATGATTGCTGCATCCGAAACCTCTAAAATGCTTCTTTTGAATGGTAGGAAGACATCTCTAAATCCAAAATCTGCTTCACTTCCTGTCTCTTGAGGTACCTTCTTCTAATCAAGTTTTGAAGCCAGCATCGATATATCCTTCACTTCCTTATAAATCCCACAACCCTCACAGTTAGCCTAAAATAAGGCTCCGCTTTAAAGTCAGTTTATGTGTAAATGTATGTTCGGACTAACGTTTTCTACTTTTCACAATGTTTTTATCACTAAAGCCTTCTCTATTTGGTTGTATGTGATTAAAAGTTTATGCTGTCTCAGAATCTGTCTGAAATCCATTTTACGATGTGTCTTCCTGCAGAAACGCTGCGCAGCGAGGCAACAAGTCAGCAGCCTAAGCTTTTAGACGCAGCCAAAATGATGTATCCATTTCAGAAATTGAATGATCTGATTGTTCCGTCCTCCATGGATGCAGCACAATACACCCCCATACACTTTTCGGTTTCTTCAAGCAGAGTAGCAAGAGAGTTTTTAATGAACTCATGCATGCTCGCTTCATTTTATTCCCTCACATCTGCTGTAAATGTTTTCCATCAAAACGCTTACACTAAACTCATCAAAACTATACAAATAATAATGTTGAAGCTTAAAGGAGTAGTTCACTTCAAGAATTGAAATGCTGTCATTAAGTTTTTTACTTGATCCAAATACTTGTTTGTTTCTTCGGTTGAACACAAAAAAAGATATTTAGAAAAATGTTGACATACAGTTGATGGTCACCACTGACTTCTATAGTAGGGAAAAATATGAGCATCAGTGACCAATCATTCTGAAACTGAACAACTCCTTTAATGCATTTTTGATAGGATGTTTTGATTTAAAAAGATTATTGACAAATAATCAGTCAGTCCTTTGCATCTCTATAAAAAGCTATACTGGTGCACTTCTCTTAAAAGGTTGTTCACTTGTCATTTTAAGACTTTTTCTCACCCTCACCCAGCAGGCTCTCGCAGCCGAAGCCGATCCAACATGGCCCAGGAAGGAGAGACTGAAGCCAGTTCTCAAGAGTCTCTGCAAGAGGTCCCCGAGGAAGTGCTGGTCATCTCTCTAGGAACATCACCACAGACCATTCCCGGGATGATGTCAGAAAACGAGGTCAGAAGCTTGAGGATTTATGTCATTTGTTTTGATATTGTGATTTTTAGGGGAATTAATAAGAAATGAAGTGTGCAGATGCAAAAGCTGTCTAAAAGTCATTCTTCTGAAATGAGATTTTAGGATCCTGTGTTTAATATTAGTTATTTTTCCTTTATGGTGATGAAAAGGTTATTTGCATTGCCTTTACTGTGAAATAACTCAACATAAACAAAGGAGGCTGAGAAAAATACTCATTTTAGATGAACATTTTGAGATGACATTTAGAGGCTTTTGTATTTGAACTGTTCAAATGATTATATTGATAGTGCTCATATGCATCTGCAATGTCTCTGACTGTAGGTTCTGACTTTGCATCTTGGAGATGGAGGACAAGGTGACGCCCCTGTCGACGACACCAAATTACATGGCAAGCCTGACAAAACACTGCGCTTCTCACTTTGCAGTGACAACCTGGAGGGCATTTCTGAGGGTGTGTTTTCATCAGACAACCAGTAGATGGCTCACTTGTACATAATCTGTTTCATGTCCACCTGGCATTTTTCCTTTCTTTTCTCATTCTTTTTTTAAGGTAAAGAGAGAGACAAATACATTTTATATTTAGTTTGATAGTTCAGATTTTATTTTATAATTTCATTTTATTTTTATATATATTTTTAAGATAAATCATTTTGTGTTTTTTTAATTTGATCTTTTTTATTATTTCATTTGCATAAATCGGTTTACTATTCTAGTATTCTAGTTTGTTCTATTCTATTCAGTTGTATTCTATTCTATTTTAGAATAGAAGTTTAATTAGTTTAATTTTAATAGCCTGGTTAGTTTAGTAATATATTTATAAATATGGATTTTTTTTATGGTATGTCCGTAGGGCCGTCTAACCGCTCAAATTCAGTTTCTTCTTTGGATTTGGAAGTGGAGTCCGTGTCAGAAGGAGGACCAGGACCGTCTGGTAGTAACGGTGCAGAAGCCTTACAGCTACTGGAGCACGAACAAGGTGAGTTTGTGTCTTCGAGTATTTCACCAAACATCTTAAGAGAAAAACTTTACAATTAAACTGGTGTTGCTTGACACTCACATACTCTGTGTTGTCTGTTATGTAGCCACTACACAGGATAATTTGGACGATAAACTGCGCAAGTTTGAGATTCGGGACATGATGGGCCTGACGGATGACCGAGACATTTCTGAGACGGTCAGTGAGACTTGGAGCACTGATGTCTTGGGGAGTGACTTTGACCCCAACATGGATGAGGACCGACTGCAGGAGATAGGTACATGTGTACTTCTGCAGACTTCTGCAATGTCTGATTGCACAATATGGTTAAGAACAGTTCTCAACTCAAAGAGATGTACTGCATGCTTTAATGAGTTTTAATTACTTTCAATGCATACCTGAATACACAACATAACTCAAAACAGCTTCTGAAGTTTGTAGTCAGAATGATTTACAATAATTACTCATCAACAGTTACATTTTCTTGCAGTTTCTGTCATAAAACCATAAACATTTCAAAAGAAAGGATAAAACAACATGTGTGTGTGTGTGTGTGTGTGTGTGTGTGTGTGTGTGTGTGTGTGTGTGTGTGTGTGTGTGTGTGTGTGTGTGTACACATACATACATACATACATATATATATATATATATATATATATATACACACACATACACACACACAAACAATGTTTCAATTTTTTAAAAATAAAATGATGTAGAAAAATAAGGGAATAAAATAAGGCAAAAGAAATGTTTTGCTAATAAATATTGCTTTAAAAGAAATAATAATTGTTATTAAAATATTAATAGTAGTAGCAAAGAATAAATCTAGTTGTACCAAATCTGCCAGTTATTAATGAAATAGCATGAGTGTCATGGCTGGGAATTTGTCATCGGCAGGTGTGGCAAAATATTAGTTTTTGGCCTAATTTGCTGTGAGATGCAGTTCAGTTTAGCAAGCTGACCAACAAACCCATCGCTGCCTCCCTGTGGTCTGCGTAGAACTTGCACTTCTCAATGAAGTAGCTGAATTGTGATCTTTTACACTCTTTGTGTGAGTCCTACCTAATAGTGCTTTAGTAATTACTCCTGCAGTTTTCCTGTTTAAGACATTCCCTACTAATCATGGAGCGTTTTAGACATTTTTAAAATCACAATTGGGTAGCACTTTATTTGTGTCACTGAAAAAATGGATGCAACTTACCCTAAACTAAAGCGTGTTCTTCAACCTAACTCGAATTACTCATTACTTACTGTAGGACATGCTGTGAATTAATATTACTCAGTTCCTGAATTACATTTTAACAAGGACATAATGAAATGTTTTAAAGTTCTTATAGATTGTAATAGCAGCTAATTTACATGATTGAGTAAATTAAACATGCAGTAAGATATATTTTAGATGCTCTTTAAAGACCTGATTTACAAAGTGAAAAAATACTTGCTAAATATTTTGTTTCAATTGTTGCATGATTATTTTATCTTACTTATGTTGTTTATTATTTCTTTATTATTACAATAATCATATAATATCTCCTCTACAAAATATGGATAATTTCTCTTTTATATTTAATGCTGGTTATTTTAACATTATTGTAATTATTAAATTGGATGAGTTGATTACCTTTGACAATAATAACTGATTACTAATCTCATTTTGTTAATCTTTATTTTGTTAATCAAATAATTAATTATTTCTAATTAATTCTTTTTTTTCTTTTTCTTAGTTCCTGTGTGAGGCCCCTTGAAAAGCTCCTCATGAACAAATATAGTAATATAGTAAAATTATAATTAAATAAGCTGTTGTTGTGGTTGTTATAAAATGCAACCATTTTAATAATTTGGTTTATACATAATTTTAATAATTTTTTTTTATACAGCTACAGTAAATGGGGTTTTATCACTAGTTGCCTTGTTTTTATTCTGTAATACAAGATCTGTTTGTCTGTCTCTCTCTCTCTCTCTGCCTGTCTATAATTATAATCTATAATATCTATAATATGATATTATATTTTAGCTGTATTTAACCTTTATTAGATAGGACAGTGTAGAGAGAGGGAGATAGGAATTTGTGTGGAGCAAAGAGAGGAGAAAGATCAGCAAAGGACTTTGTGTTGGGAATAGAACTTGGGTTGCATTTCAGTGCTATAGGTCAACGCACTAACCATTAGACCAGGGATTTTCAACCGGTGGGCTGCGGCCCACTAGTGGGCCTCAGCGATTTTGCAGGTGGGCTTAAAATTAACTTAAATATTATGCTATAATTATTTGATTTCATTATTAAATATGTCATTAAAATGATAGTAGTATGGCATTTTCTGTTTTCTTCTATTGTACAGGCTAAACTCGGAATTTGACATAATCAGCCTCACTGTAAATTTTAGACATACAGTAAGTGGGTCTTAAACTTCCAAACGCTGCATGTTAACTTGTTTAAATCAAATCGAGCATGTCTGCGACTCGTACTGTATTAGAGTCGCACAAGTCCGTTGATATACAACCTGTGCGTGCTCTCTTTGTGTAAACAATTTAAATTATCCGCAAAGTTTAGCGCTTTATAACTGACGCGCTTTCTTACAGGAGGATCTAGAGACTCGGGGGTGTTTCAGTAGTGAACAGCTGTTTACTGTTCCTTTCAGCGAACTCCAATAATGTCCAGCTACAAACCAAACCGCATTCAGATCGATGCATTTCAAATGATTTAGAGGGTTTACTTTATTTTACATTTGGGGTTAGGGTTACTGTAGGTTGTTTATTTTTAAAGATATGAATAGTACATCAATAGATGATTAGAAGTCAGTCTAATTAAAAGCAGCAGCAGCAGTTTTTTTTTCTTCTGTCAGGTTCCTTTTCTGAAGAATAGGCCCAAATACTCTGCAGTTGTAAAGAATAACTGAAGTAAAGAATTCAGGAGCTTTGAACATGTCTGCATTTTATATATATATATATATATATATATATATATATATATATATATATATATATATATATATATATATATATATATATATAAATATATACACACACACACACACACACACACACACACACACACACACACACACACACACACACACACATATACACACACACACACACACACACATATATATACGTGTGTGTGTGTATATATATGTGTGTGTGTGTACACATACATACATACATACATACATATATATATATATATATATATATATATATATATATATATATATATATATAATATATATACATACATACATACATACATACATATATATACACACACACATATACACACACACAAACAATGTTTCAATTTTTTAAAAATAAAATTATGCAGAAAAATAAGGGAATAAAATAAGGCAAAAGAAATGTTTTGCTAATAAATATTGCTTTAAAATAAGCATTTTCTCTAGACAATCAATTTGGGCCTTCAAAAAAATTTGAATTGGGCCTCAAAGGGAAAAAGGTTGAGAACACCTGCACTAGACTATTGATGCTGATATATAGGAACTGTTTTAATATGAACAATCCAAAGCTCTACAATTATGGTTATTCACTTACTTGAGAGTTTGTGAAACTGCATGCCTTTATTCGACCACTTATTTCCGTCAATCTCTCTCTTTTCCCTCCATCCCCTTGTCTACACTATTCTCTCTCTCTCTCTCTCTCTCTCATGCTCTCCTCTCTCTCTCTGACATTCACACAGTCCCTGCAGTCTTATTGACCTTGCTTCCTTCTCATTTGCATCCTCCATTTTTCATTCCTCGGAATATGGCATTGGGGGACTTTTCCATCATTAAGTGAATTTACAGCGATTTCCTTATGTGTTTTCTCCGAGGGATTGGGTTATGAGATACACATTAAATATCCATTAATACCTCATTATCCCACTGATAAGATTACCATGATAATGAGGCAGAAATTCTAATTGTTTCACTACTGCGGGTGCCACTCATTTAATCATGCACCTGAAAGACGGGCGGCCCCGAGCCCCTGCCTCACTCACTGTAAACAGGGCCAGCGGGGGAAAGCTTTCCTGCAGGCCCGCCGAAACCTGCCCTCATGCACAGTCCTGTGACCTGCCGAGAGCTTCATATGGAGTGCTCATGATCTCCGCTTCTGCCCGAGCATCAAGACGCCCCCGCCATGACATGTTGGCTGTTCACCCTCCCCTTCCCGGCTCTCCATCTCCATTCTTCTGCCTTGTTAGGCGCTAGCTCCTGTTGGGAATGTTGCAGAGAGAGAATAATGAGGTTATGAGTGATGCTCAGCTCCATCCACACCTCAAAGTCACAACCCTGATGATTGCATATGTGTGTGTGTGTGTGTGTGTGTAGAGGGTGGAGGCTGCCATTAACCTTTGTCCATCCCTGTCAAAGTCCGTCTACCTGCTGCTTTTGATCAGAGAGATACCTTATGACTAGGCCCACATGAAATCTGTACGCACATGAATACACAATTTTTTTAGCCCATCATTGAATTTGTTTATTTACTTACACAGGGTTACACAATTTGATACATTGCTTGTTTATCTATATTATCACATAGGGCCTTACTATCTTTATCTTCAACTCCCAGTAGTTGCTGTTCTTCTATTGGCTGACAAGAGTCAAGACGAGAGGAAAATTAAAACAGCCAATCAGTCAAAATAACTTCTCTATCACTTTCAGTCATTTATAATGTTTTAAAGACTAAATGTTTGCATGTTGACTTTTTTTGTTGCTGAAGATTTGTCGGCTACACTTTCATGATGCGAATCTTCCGTTCCACTACATCCCAAAGGTGCTCTATTGGATTGAGATCTGGTGACTGTGGAGGCCATTTGAGTACATTGTCATGTTCAAGAAACCAGTCTGTTATCCTGTTGCAATTAGCCATCAGAAGATGGGCACACTGTGGTCATAAAGAGATGGACATGGTCAACAACAATACTTCGGTATGTTGTGGCATTAATGCTCGAGAGGTACTAATGGACCCAAAGTGTCCCAAGAAAATATTCCCCACACCATTACACCACTACCACAAGCCTGAAACATGAATACAAGGCAGGATGGATGCACACTTTCATGTTGCTGATTTCAAATTCTGACCCTATCATCCGAATGTCGCGGCAGAAATTGAGACTCATCACACCAGGCAACATTTTTCCAATCTTCTATTGTCCAATTTTGGTGGGCCTGTGGGAATTGTAGCCTCTGTTTCCTGTTCTTAGCTGACAGGAGTGGCACCCGGTGTAGTCTTCTGCTGCTGTGCCCATCTGCCTCAAGGTTGGACGTGTTGTGTGTTCAAAGATGATCTTCTGCTGCATACCTCGGTTGTAACGGGTGGTTATTTACCTACGGGTGGTTATTTACTTTGGTTACTGTTGCCATTCTATCAGCTTGAACCAGTCTGGCCATTCTCCTCTGACTTTTGGCATCAACAAGGGATTTGTGCCCACAGAACTGCCAATCACTGCTGATCTACTGAATCTCAGTAGATCAGCAATTTCTAAATACTCAGACCAGCTCGTCTGGCACCAACAATCATGCAACGTTCAAAGACTCGTAAATGACCTTTGTTCCCCATTCTTATGCTTAGTTTGAACTACAGCAGATCATCTTGACCATGCCTACATGCCTAAATGCATTGAGTTGCTGCAATACAATTGGCTGATTAAAAATTTGCATTATCGAACAGTTAGACAGCTGTATCTAATAAAGTGGCTGGTGCATGTAAATTATACAGTACAGAGACTTGCTTTTTTCCCCCCAAAAAGTAGATCTTATTGTATTTGCATTGTAAACCATAAATAAAAGTTATTTTAATTTAATGTTTTATGTTTTTTTATTTACTATTCTCCAAAATCTTTCTGCATAAATCCTTTTCGGTTCAGAATTTAATAGCAAAAAAAATGTCGGCAGATTCTGTCTGGCCCTGCTTATGACTGTGTTCTCCATTCTCCATAGGGGCTGCAGCGGAGAATGCTCTGGGCAGCATGCTGTGTTTGCCTGTGCTTTTGGATCCATATGGTTCAACCATCTCAGAGACCACGAGCGAGGCTTGGAGTGTGGAGGTTCTGCCGAGTGACTCAGGTGAGGGATAAAAGCATGTGTATTCAGCACATCTTCTGGTGAGCTCTGTTAGTCTTAGAGAGATTTATTTAAAGGTGCAGCTCTGCTTATTGGTGCTGGCCAGTCAGCTTGCATAAAATATACACATTGTGATGTATTAGTTAGCAGCTACTACTGGAAACCCAGGTCCATAGATGGCAGGGATTAACCTTTAGTTTTGCATGTTAGAGACGAAGATGTTGAAATGTCAAAGCATTATATTTGGATCTGATATGTTGTTATAGCATGTAACCTTGTTGTTATTTGGTTAAAACACATGCAAGAACAGAAAAAGTAGTTGTATTTGTAAAATATAATTACAAGATTTGTAATTGTGTATATTTCTGGCAGCCATTTTATACATTACATCCTAAAATTGTTAATAATATGAATAATAATATTAATAATAATAGTAGGCTTGGGCGGTATCCAAATTTTGATACCGTCAAACCTCCTCCCTATTTTACCCCGGTATCCGGTATTACTGTGCATAATAAAAAAAATTACGATGTAAAGCTCAGACAGTGATGTCCCGTGATGACAATCACGCATACGCATTTGTAGGCATTAAATAAATAATATTTATTATTTAATACTTGTCTCCTATAGGTGCATTGTTTTTTATGACGGTTTAACATTATTGAAACTGAAACTGTTGCTATTTTTAGATCATATGTTTAGACCATATTACCGTATTATCGCTATAGCCTAAATAATAGTAATAATAATAAAAATAAAACATTTCTCACAATCCATGGTTGTGAAACAAGTGTGGACAAAAAAAATCTTAATGTTAATGCAAATATTTTTTACATTGCGTTGTTTATTTTTTTCTGGTTTTGAAAGCTTTTTGTTTTATTTAGTTTTTTAATTTAATTTAATTTAATTTAATTTAATTTTTGTTTTATATGGACATTTATATTATTTTTGAACTCTGCTTTTTATCCATTATTTTGTTCTGTGTTGTTTACAGGCTACTTTATTTTAATTTAGTTTGATAGTATTTTAATTGATATTAATTGTGCGTTTTGAAGAAAGCAGCGTTTATTTATTTTTTTGTTTGTTTGTTTCATATCAATAATTCAATTATGTACGTGACATTGGGCTCCACTCCAGAGATCAGATAGTAGTGACAGACATGATAAGCCTGTAATAAGGACTGGCTGTTAAATGTAAAACAAGACTGTGCCAGTAGCAGGCAGACGGCAGACTGTGTGTGGTCTTGTCTTCCTGCCCGTTTTGCATCACAAGCAATAGAAAGACTGAATGAGTGATTGTTTTTTGCTTTGCTTGGGTTGATTTCAGTTCTAGGTGCTGGGAAAAGTAGACTCCAAAGACCAATTGAGACCTGCATGATTACAAATGAGCACGCAAATGAGAGCCCTCAATGGGGATGCCCTGCTGCGTGTCTTTATGCGTGTGTGGATGCTGTGCACTGTTTTCTACAGCTAATGAATGTGTGTTGCAGAAGCTGCAGACCTGAAGCAGGAGGAACGTTTGCAGGAGCTGGAGAGCTGCTCCGGTGTGGGAAGCACTTCAGACGACACAGAGGTCCGAGAGGTCAGCTCAAGACCAAGTACTCCAGGACTCAGCGTTGTTTCAGGTAAACGTGCGCAGAAGTGACAGAATTCCATGACATGCTTAAGGTTACTGCACACTATATCTACATTTGAAAAAGCACTTTAAGAGGTGTTATCACATTTCAGAGCCACCTCACAAGCGAAAAGCTAAATACAGAATGCCATCATTTTAGCTACAGATAACTACAGTGCATACAGCCAAATACAGTGCATAAAAAAGTACAGAATGTTGCGGACGGTTGTGTTCGCCATTGGTGTGTTTGTTTAAATTGTGCGGTCCAATCAGAGACCGTCACAACCTATGCTGGATTCAGTGACTGGCACACATCTCCCCTGTTGCTATTTGAGGTGTGTGTGCATGCGTGTGTGCATGGCCATACATTTGATATACTGCCCATAGACATTATAATAGAAAGCATGGTCCGCTTTCGGTCCGTTGGTTCGATACGTCAATGCGGTTGCCATCTATTATAATGTCTATACAGCAGGTACTGCCATGTACTGCCTGTTCAGGATTTATTCATGTATGTAATGCAAATGTATGAAGCATCACAAGCAATGTATGAAAATTCCACTTATTTCCTGAAATAAACTGCATTTCAGGATAATCATAGCGCAGATCTTTGATCTTTCCTCTCTATGCAGTATTGGATGAACACATATATAACCTATTCCTCTTTTCTTTTCTATTTTGGAGATGAGAGAAGAGCAAAGTATCTCTGCTTGAACTGACTCTAAAATGTTTTGCGGTTTTTTTTTTTCTTAATGGATTAATTAGTACACATCGGACTCAGTGTGCAAGGTTTTTGAATGTGATGAATTTTTTTACATATGAATACGCAAAAAATGCATTTGAAAATTTCGGACTTCAGTGTGCAAAGACTTTGACTGTGAAGTTCTTTTTAGTTTTTTGAAAGAGAGAATTGTGAATTTAGGCATATGTTCACTCAAAAAATAGTTTTTATGCTTTGATCGAACTACATATATAAAATGAGCTAAAACAACACAATTCTTTAGTTTTTTGGGGAGGAAATCTTAATTGTTTTATCTTCAATCCACTTAAATTTGTAAACAAAATATTCAGTTAACTTAATCTAATTGTATTGGGACAACCTGACTGAATTGTGAGGAACCCAGCATTTTTTTTCAGTGTTCTATGTCATATCCTGTTATATTTTTTTGTCGCGATAATTGCGAAAGTGTTTATGATGATATACGGTGTTATTTCAATAATGACGTAAACTGTAAAAATAATTTGGCAGGTATAATAGCTAAAGTAGGTTTGTATTATTTTAATTTACATAAATCTTAAAAGTTGACAAATTTTTCTGACAAACTGAATTGCATAAGGATTAAAGTGTAATAAGTAACACTTTTTCAAAACGTTTAGTAAACATTAGCTAATGCATTGGTTAACCTCAGCAGTGAGGAACTTTGATATATGTTAGAAATGCTAATGTAAAAAAAAATAATACAACTGAACTTCATTCAGTTATTAGCTCCATTAATCAAACCCATTAAGATATTTAATTTGATTGAAAACATTATCTAAGAAGTAAAAGCCACCTAATATAAGTAGATGCTGCACAAGTAGTTTTTATGGTTTATTGTTTAATGATAATGTATTGAGGCTTGCGGTAAAGTGTTAAAAATAGAAGAATCAGAACATTTTCGATGAATCACTTGAGCATGTTGTGGATTAACTAGTAAAATGTTTTTTTGAAAAAAAAGTCCCTATTAAATCTTCAGTAAATTGGTGGTGTGAGGAACACAATCATAAATAAAATAAAACCTTTTTAAAGTTTATATAAGAAATATTTCATTAAAACATTTCGATACGTTTTCCATTCTGCACGCTTGTGTTTAACTGAAGGGCAATACGTTTTTACAGCTCAGTTCCTAAAGAATAAAATCTTTAAGAAGAAAACCTTTCAGTCTTACAGCCGGGATACATTAAGGTGTCTTTTTAGGCTAGTTTGTTTGCTTTGTTACATGTGTTGCCTTTCATTGTGCTCATGTCATATTGTTAGTTTGATTCAACATGTAGAGTTGATATTAGCAGTCGATGAGAGCACTCTGATTGGCTGTTCAGCTATAAATCGGTGCACAAAAACTGATGAATCAAAGCTAAAAATGCAAGGAACACAAAGAAGCTGGCTATCAATATGGATTATTAGACTGCTTAAATTCTGCTTTCTCTGCAGTTTGTATGTGTGCAGCAATAGTTCTGTTTTCCCTTTGTGGAATGACAGTACAGATACTGCCACCTGCAGGTGTAAACATACAAACTCACCCAGTCACAGAACAAGTTTTTGTTTCAGTTGTTCGTTGTCTGTCACAGCTTTTTAGTTCAGATGCAGGCAACACGAGGTGACAGCACGGTCAGTTAAAAAAAAAAACTGATAGTTTTTTGAGGTTTGATTTGGATGTTGGCTGATAAGCCTGCCTGTCCAATAAGATATATAGTAATATTGAATACCTTCACGTAAACTTGGGAGCATGTGTAAACCTTTTCAACCAAAATCAGTCCACTGGATTCAATAGACAAGCTAGGTAAAGTTTTATTACAAGCTGTTCACCAATTTGTAATAAAAAGATAGGAACATTATTCCAGATCGCAACAGTCAACGTGGAACCACAGATCTGAGCAACTCTTAGAAAGCAAGTCACATTTGAATGTTATTCTATCTCACTGACTTCTTCATAAAGTGACTCCTCTGCCTGAAATTGTTATGAAGATGAATAGGTAGCACATCAACCTCCCGACAGACTTCTTTTGGACAGTTTTCCCTGATGACTTCGGCAGATGGATCACCTTTCCCTTCTTCCTTCGTTCAGTCTTGCCATTTCCATCTCTCCTTCACCTACTTCGACCTCCCTTGGGATTCTCCTTCCTTCTTTATGTGCTCATGGGAGCAATGGCGTGGCTTCCCTCATTCCTAGAGGAGCTTGAAATGAGATGTTCAACATGCCTCTTCAACATGGCCACCACTCCATCACCTGCACACCAGATTTTTGCTTACTATCTGAACTGTATTTCTCAAAGATGTATGCAGAGTCAAACTCAGGACTGATTTTGCTTTTGCAGCAGAACTGCTTTTTTTGTGTGGTGTTTGCTCACAGAGAGTTTGTCATAAGAAAAGTTTCTCCTATGACAAACCAAACTAATTTATAGTTCTGAAGGTAAAATGATTTCATCTGTGATTTATAGTTGGAGGTTTTGCTGATTTGTTGCATATTGTTTGTGCAGGCATCAGTGCCACGTCGGAGGACATCCCTAATAAGATTGAAGACCTACGCTCGGAATGCAGCTCCGATTTTGGAGGCAAAGACTCCGTGACCAGTCCAGATGGAGAGGACTCTGCTCATGGTACAAACGCACACACTCTAATGACTGATGGAGCACACAAATATTGTGCTTTGTATTTAAAGATGCACCAAGGAAAGCTTTACTCTTCACTTAAACTTTAGTGAAATCAATTGTTATTAAGCTATTTTGGCTGTCAAATGATATTAGTTGATTTTAGTTTTATCCAAAACAATCTGTCATATTCCTATTTACATATAAGGTAAAATCGTGGAGCCAATATTTTTTTTTTATTTGTTTACAAGGTTTCATTAAATGAATCTAATTGTGACATTATAAATGTTTAAAATGTTGCAAAATATTAATATTTAAAACAAAGGGCTCTTTCGATCATTTTGTGTCAATTTTTAGCAAAATTTATTTAAGGGTTTCCATCAGATTTAACTTTGCTGTTAGAGGACGGAGTATATAATATATAAAAGTATATTAAAATAGAACAGTTTTTTATGTAATAATCAGGGATGTGATTCAGGGATACGTATTTCCGTATTTTCCAAGCTCAATTAGGGCGACCCCTGTAATTTGCGTAAATCCAAAAGTTTTTTTTGAGGAGGTCTCCGTGACGTTCATCGTCATCAGGGCAGAAAACCTGATTGATGTTTTGCAACTAAATTGTTTATCATTGTGCACAAAAAGAGCATTAACTGCTTCATTCTGGACTGTATTCAGGTATAATGATATTGTGTATCGAATAATTTGTTGCTGACAATATGCAATTATGAAATCACTTTGAATGCATGCGCGACTGTGCACTTCTTCCGCGCTCACATTTGCATGTCACGACCACGTGCACTCTATGTACATTAGAAATAAAGCCAGGACGCACTTTTGTTGTTATCCTCTGCAAGTCATCTGTCCAGATGTCTTCATGCTACAGCTTAGCACCTGAAATTTACCTTACATTGTCATGAAATTGTGTAGATGATAATACCAATTTATAAAAATACATTTAATAATTGGTTAAACCTATAAAAAAGCAGGGACTAGGCCGAAGGGAAAGTGATAAACTCGCAATACATGATATATTTTTCAGGATGGAATGTTAAAGCATATTAGGCTGCTTAATTCAACTGGACTTAATATTTTTACAGTTGAAATTGTTCACTGACTAGCAGTTTATTTATCACGTGGAATAAAGAGCCTCATCTTCTTTTTCTTTTTTTTTGTCTTCAGCTGATCACATGCCTGAATATTGTTTCACAATATTACTATTTTTATTTAAAATTGTGTAAAAACAAAACACATAAATCTTACTGACACCAGACTCGTGAATCATAGCAATTACTTTTTGCAACCATTTAACAATCATATACAGTAGTCATCATTTAAAGTAGATCAAAAAAGTTTCTCAAAATAGACGAGAATGGGTGTTGTTGATTAGTTTAGGACAACTTTGACTAAAGTTCTCAATTTTTCATATTGCACATCATAATTTTTTATTCAAATCATTAACAAATTTACAAGTCAGTGTAGAATTGAATGTGTCTTTCAGTGACTATAGCATTTAATGCAATTATTATTACCTTTAATATAATATTTCTAAATGTTTTTAAGTGAAAATAGGTGTCAAAAAGCATAATGCTGAAATGTCAGTTGTTTAAACACAATATCTTGTGAAACAAATGTAATAACTTGGTGCATCTTAAAGATAAAATTGTAAATTCTAATATATTCCAATGCATCTCTAAAGGTGAAAATCAAACATTTGATCTCATTTTTTTCATTATTAAATGTCATCCTGCACCGCTGTTGATCTTGTTTCTTGGTTTGTGTAATGTGGGACTAACAATCCTTTATCACTCATTTATTCATCCCTTTATCCATCCCTTCATTCTTCCACCTCTCTAGGAGCTCACAGTCTCTCCTGTGCACCTTCTCAAACAGATTCACTGCTGGCCATGTTCGATCCCCTCTCCTCTGGAGAAGGTAATGTCACTTCCCAGCATGCACTGCTGTAGAATGCAGTATTTACACATGTAAGAGCTACAAAGGAGTGCCATAAATGTGCCTAATGACAAGAATCCTCTAATCAGCATGTGCACTGTAAAATAACACAAGCGCCTGCCAGACTTCTGTCCTGTTATGGCTCATTCTGGTAAAATAAAAGGTTTATTATATCGGCATTTAAAAGCTACAATCAATTTGTTTCTGCTCTAGCTTGCTCATCTACAATGGAAAGTTGCGTAAATGTGTTGGTGGGACATTGTGAGAATCTATGTGTGTGGCGCAAGGTGAGGGGATGACAGGTTGCTAGACCTCACTGCAGGCGTTTTGGCTCAGAGGCCCGTCCCCACTGAGCTGGTGGCACAGGGCTGGCATCGGAAGGCACGCGGCAGAGATGCTGTACCCTTGGAACAGGTGGCCCACTTTCACCTGAGGTCTGTCCGACTCTGACAGCTCTCTCAAGCTCTCTCATGCACACACTCCTGCTGACGCTGTGCACTGAGGCTTTTTTATGAATGCCAGTCCAACAGAAGTCATGTCACGACCCTTGCATCTAGTTTTGTTTGTCAAGAACTGGAGGTTATGTGGCAAATACAGAAATTCCAAAAACTGAGTTATAGGAGTATATTAGAGCTGCTCGATATTGGAAAAATCTGACATTGCGAAGTAGTGTAGTGTCGTTTTTCTGCAATATGTATTGCGATATGAATATAATTTCACCAAATTTATTGATTTAGCTCTGTTTGGAAAGATTTTATTAATTTAGATCAAGGGATGATCATGTCTTTTTTTCTATGCAGTTTGTTTGCAAAAAAAAAAAAAAAAATTACAAGTGTATAAAAATACAACAGAGCAGTTAAGGAAACAGTGCGTTATGGCTTTGTGGAGATTCTAACAGTATTCAGGTACAGAAATTGAACAATCAAACAAAAAAACATGGTCATCGTTTTATATATATATATATATATATATATATATATATATATATATATATATATATATATATATATATATAGTATCATTTGTTTAAAAATAATAACATTTAATAATATCTTCATCTTTTAATCTTCAATAAGCAATCTAATCCTGCGATCTGACTATTGCGGATTCACAAGTTGCGATATCGATGCTCGAACGATACAGTTGAAATCAGCATTATTAAAATTTGGAACTTTGAATTATTATTATTTTTTTTATATTTCTCAAATGATGTTTAACAGAGCAAGTAAATTTTCACAGTATATCTGATAATACTTTTTCTTCTAGAAAATGTCCTATTTGTATTTTTTTTGGCTAGCATAAAAGCAGTTTTTAATTTTTAAAAACATTTTAAGGTCAAAACTATTAGCCCCTTTAAGCTATATTTTTTCCCGATAGTCTACAGAACAAACCATCTTTATACAATAACTTGCCTAATTACCCTAACCTGCCTAGTTAACCTAAGTAACCTAGTTAAGCCTTTAAATGTCACTTTAAGCTGTATAGAAGTGTCTTGAAAAATATCTAATATAAAATTTTTGTACTGTCATCATGGCAAAGATTAAATAAATCAGTTATTAGAGATGAGTTATTGAAACTGTATTATGTAGACATGTTGAAAAAATCTTCTCTGTTAAACAGAAATTGGGGACAAAAATCAACAGGGGGCTAATAATTATGATTTCAACTGTATATTGTGCAGTTCTTTTTTCAAAAGGTAAATAATTTAGCTGTTGACTTTTTTTAAAAATGAAATTTGCCAGTTTATTTACTTTTGTTTAGTAGAACATGACTATCATATGATAATGATGTGGATGGATGCATAATACCCCGCTGTCCATCTAATCAAATCGTATTGTGTTGCTGTGAATATCAAAACACAAGAGATTGTTTTAATGTGAAGACTGCACATTCTGCCTGTCTTTGTTGAGGGGTGATGCTGTTTGGTTTATTACATGCATACTGAAGCTTGATGCTTGTGGTGTTGTCAGCTTTTGCTATCTTACTTCAAGGACATAAAAAAAAAAAAAAAAATTATGGGCACAAACTAATTAACAAAAGCAATATGCGAGTCACTTTTCTGGCATTTTATTGTTTTTAAAGCTGTCGTCATGTCATGTACAATTGGAAACTCACAGCTTCTCCAGGAAAATTTGTCAAAATAAAATCTGGTTTAATTTTAGCTTTTTGTTTTATTTGAAAAAAAAGTATTTTATAGGGGGATTGTTTTACATTTGAAACAAAATTTTTTTAGTCCAGAAAAATTGAATTCTCAAAATATAAACAAAATGTATTTGCAAGAACTTCATAGGGCCTTACATAATCTGCTCATCTGTAAATAGTGTGCATAGTCAATATGCTGAATATTAAATTTTTTAGACTAATATTAAAAGACATTGATTGCTGTAGATGGATCACAAGGGCCCAAATCTTGCAGTTGGTACACACATCTTTGTTTTCTTTCTTAATAAATAATATTCAGTGCTTGAAACAAGCTTGACAGGCCTCTACTGTATTTTTATGGATGTTTTGCCCTCAAGGTCTCTGCACCACTCCATGACTGAAAGCTATGAACTGTTTCTTGTTTGAGAAACCCTGTCATTTAGATACGTCACAATAGAGGAACATAGACTGTATTGCCACTTTAGTTTCTTGTTGACTTTAAATAAAAAAAACCTCTGAGTTTGTCTCAAATGTCTCTGCAGGTTCGTGCACTGGCACCATAGTGCGACCCAAGGTACACTATCCTCGTCCTCCTCACCCTCCGCCTGACCCACCCATTCCAGAGGCCAGCATAACCAGCCACATGGAACCCCGTCCGCCCCTCTTTCCTCCCCACCTGGCACAGGGTGACCTGGAGCACCCCAAGCAGAGGCACTCTTACCCTGAGAGGCTGGTGAGGAGCCGCAGCACAGATGTGGTGTCCGCTGGACGCAGACCTAACAGTGACCCCGGACTGAACCGCAGAACCATGATGGAGGAGAGAGACCCGGCTGGAGCTTACTCTACTGGGCCCACCTCCTCTCCCAGCAAGGATTCCCTCAAAGGAGAGGTAAACATAGACTTTGAAGGGTAGTACAAGTGCAGCAATATGTCCTTGAGGCTTTCTTATTATTATGATTTTGAAATATTTTTTTTAATGCCGAGTTAACATCTTAAAGTCAATAATCAAAACGGCAGTGTTGTGAAATGGTAATATATTTATTTGTGTTAGCAAAATATTATTTTCTTTTTTCTGTAAATCCAGTTTTTAGTATCACTTGCTCTTCCAGAAAATCACTCAATATGCAGAGTTTCTGCATATGAAACATTTATAATCATCATTGTTGGTGACATACACACTAACAACATCCACAACATCAATGTTGGTGGTCTATAGTTTTTTGGATCATTATAACTGTAAAGTAACTTTAGAGATTAGTGGATTTTTAATAAATGATTTCTTAGTATAATTGTTTTCAGACATTTGATTAATTATATAAATAATTCATTACATTTCCAGATGTTCCTCTTTACAACTTTTTTTTTCTTCACAAAAATTATTAAATAATTTACTTGCGTTACATTTTGGCTTATGTAATTGACCAAATGTAAATGTTGTTGTGAACTACAGTACTTTAACCATGCTTTTGCCTGTGTTTAGTCTGAGGACAGGAAGGACAGTGATGATGAGAAGTCTGATAGGAACAGACCCTGGTGGAAGAAGCGCTTTGTTCCTGCCATTCCTAAAGGTGAGGAGCCCAACTCTTCAGTAATGTTTTTGTGAGGAGTACAAGTCTGACATTATATGTGGGTCAGTGACCAGACAGATACATTAATATAGAAACTGCTGGCTAGAAATAAAGTGTATTCTGTTAAAATGAGGAACATGTTGCTGATCCTATATTTGACTAACTTGGTTAATGGCATATTTGGATTTATAGTAAACATTTTGAAGACTAAATCTGATAATGATGTTGGGACCACTGTAATCTCCATGCCTATAACTACAAGACTTCTATGAATATTTGAAATGCTTTATTGGGATAATTGAATTACTGAATGTGAATTAGTATATCAAATTTTGTAATTTAGACAATTTTTAAAGATAAATATTGTTCATGTAAAACAATTAATTATAAATTTAGTTCAGAATTTTTCCATTTAAATCCTTTTTAAAAACATAAGCAACAAAGCTTTCCCAAACTTTTGAACAGTCAAACACCCAAGTGCAACTCAAATCAGTTTAAGATTCTGCTGCCCATTAGCTATTAGCATTTAGTATGGATCGGGCAAAGAGTTTGTGTTTTTGAAGCCCAACCCTGTCTGTTGCTGTCTGTGTTCCTCACACAGTGCTCTATTGGACGGCAGAGGGTGAACTCCCAGGTAACCCGCTCTTCAAGCTCTCTCCCACTCAGACTAGTGCTGTACACTAGCGACCTTAATTTATGCTAGCACCCGTAGACTCTTCCTCACCGCTGCGTGATGGCCAGAGCTGTGACGTGACACAGTCTAAAGCTTCATCTTCTCATCCATGCAGCCGTTTTGGTTTCTTTTTGCAGCCGTTTGCTCTTTGTTATGCCACATTTTGGAACTGTTATTGGGAGCTTCTGAAATTGTGATATTTTGACCTCTTGCTTTTTTAGACTTCCTCTCATATGATGTAGGGGTGGGAATCACAGGTTAACTCTATGATACAGTCACAATATTCTGCCCACTTATAATCTATCATAACACCACTGATTCTGTGATAAATGATAGATTGCAAGAAAATCAAGCAAGGTACAGTATATCACAATTGTGTTCACACAAGACAAGCACTGTGTTTCATTTCAATCGCTTGTGCTGTGCAAGGGAGGGTTGTTGTCACGCTGACCAAAGCATAAGTGCAGCCATCGACTAACTTGCACCCTTGACGTTTCAAAATTCAAAATAGCTCAATATTGTGCTCTGGAAAATTTATGTTCACATACTTATCTATGCATTGATCGCACATGCTCACTCGAAAAACAAATCTGCACAAATAACACCCCAACGGGACATTTTTATAGTGGGTTAGGGTTAGACTTCAAAAGTGAGACCTTCGAAGTCCTCACAGGCTGAACGGAGCAGTTTGAAACGAGACGATCTAGCCTACAGAGGACTGATCTCGTCACGAGGCAACCATTACAGCTGCTATTAAAAAGCGCTGATAAAGTGTGTAATGCCTTTTCTAAAAACGTATTTAAACGTATTTTAAGTGATCTAAAGGCAAAACAAGGTATGCAGAAGTTTGAAATATTTTTCTTTTAATCTATACATGTACACATAAACATGTAACCCGTCTATAAAATCACTCTTTAGTAAAACATTACATACTCTTATTGTTTTTTTTAACGTGTTTAGATATGCAAGTAAAATAAACATAATTTATACATTTAAACTGGAGTTTTCATTTTAAAAACGTCCTGTCGTTATCGGCGTGCAATGAATCTTGGGATGTTCGAGGCCGCGAAGGATCCACCGATTGTGTCCTTTATTACCTGGGAACGAAGGACACATTTTAAGGCTGTGTTGAAGCAGCCTTTGAATTTTTTTGAAATGAGACCGCCTTCGTCGCGCCGTGATAACACAGCACACTTTGAATGCATCCTTCGGAGAATGCAGCCACTGACACAAAGAACTTAGAATGACCAAGAGGCGACACTCAATAGAACAATCCATTGCAACAGCTCCAGATTCCGCCATTTTGAAGTCTTATTGCTGTCGCGATGGCAAGCAGCTGCTTTGTTTTTTATTTATTTATTTAAAAAGCCCATTAAAGCTGAGATACAACCTTACAGCACACTTACTATGACAATCATCAGCCCTTTTGATAGTTTATTTTACAAACTTATAATATGCTGTTGTTCTTTTGAAGTTTTCATTCCAAAATAGCTGCCACCCCATCTAGTGGTTGTTTCCCAAATTGCACTGGAGTGTCGCCTCTTGGTGATTCTATGCTCTTTGACTGAAATTCCTGCTGCTTACAAAGGTGCTACTGTGCTGCAACACTGGTAAACTGACACATCTCGACTCGTTTGCTGTCACTAAAATGTGGTTAACAATGTTTAACTTAAGTTATGTTAAGAAATAAATTGAGTTGCGTTACAAAATTACTTAAAAATTGTTTATTATTTTATTAAATGTAAAGCATTTTTGTTTTCGGTTTTTGGCCAAGTGCATTCAGAGTTTTTAGTTTTGCTTTCAGGCTCAAAATTTTAATTTCAGTGCTTTCCCTAATCAAAAAATCTATAAAAGTCATGTCATGTAATTCACTTATTAAGAGTACGTTTATTCTATAGAATAAGTGCAAAGGTGTATAAACAGTTGTCAAACGGACATATACTTGAAACATGCTTATTTTCCAGAGGGAATCATTTGTGATCAGAGGGAATCATTTGATTCCAGAGGGAATCATTTGTTTCTAGTAAAGAAAGGCTGCATTTGCAACTGATCAGTCATAACTGCATCATCTCAAATCTGTTAAAATTACATATAAAAAGAAAAACATCAGTGTGGTCACATCTAAGCAAATCTTAAAGGCAGTTGTTCATCAAGCCAAACACAATAGAACATGTATAAAAAAAAATTGGCACACTGCCAGCTTAGCTCACCAAAGACAATTTTAGTTGGACAACATATCGACTTAAAAAGTCTTCATCAGGTCACTAGTACAAAGAAAACCCTACTTATAAGGTGCGTCCCAAATCGTATACTTGTGCTCTTTTTCTACGCCATTTTGTAGTATAAATAGTGTAAGTAATGCATTCACACTGAAAACTCTAAAAAGAGTAAGTGCACCCAGATGATGCACTTATTCAACCGTTAATATGAAGTGTGGAATGTTGGACACTTTACACACTCAACAGCCGCTGCTTTGTTTACAGAGCGGAAGGGGCTGAGGTTTCAGCCACTGATGCTGGATTATTTATTTTGAATTGTGAAAGCAAAATTCTCCTACACGAGATTATACCGCCTCCCAATGGTGAATGCGGTTATACTCATTGCAGGTATTATTTGATAGTTTAGTCATTTATTTCACTAATTTGTCAACCATCAAATGTCATCAGGGAAATGGTTTGAATTTCCACTTACTAAAAAAAATGTTAGTGTTCCATTTGGAGCGACACTACATTCATGTATTATGCTGTTGAGTGTGTAAGTGCATAAGTACTGTACATAGTGCAAGTGTATAGTGTACCATTTGGGACGAGGCTATAGTCAAACTCTTGACATCACAGCTGCAAACAACAGTTACCCCAATTAAACAATGAGTAAGTAATTACACAAATCAAAACAAATTTGAAGCAAACAGAAAATGATAAAAAAGACATAAAAAAAATCTCTCAAACTTCGTGGTTAGTGATTGTTTTAATGTGAAATACTTTATACTGTATGTAAATGTGCTTCTACACTCAAAAAGACATTCATCAACATTAATACATAATATAATATGAATTCATAAAAAATATTTGATAATACGCGAGCGCTAGTCTTTAAATTGGTTGCTGTTTGGGTCCAGTAACAAATAGATCCCAGCATTTGACCCTAAATATAGACGTTATTCAGTCCTCCTAAGTCAGAAATTTACTCCTGTCATAGACTTAAGAAAATGATACTTTGTATGAGTATAGATGATGTCTTGTAGCCAAAAAAAAGAGAGAAACTGACAGTTTTTTTTTCTTGTCCCACCCCTGATATAAAAACAATATCATCTCATCTTTGTTTCCTTCATACAGTCAAAGTTCACATGGAAATACACATGACATTTTGCACCACACAGCTCCACGTTACTTCACTTGTGACATGCTTCATTTCAGTTGCCCATTACTGATTATTTGATAGCGGCTCATGTGTGGAGCAAGCATGTTCCTCCATGTGGTTGCTCCACAGTACACTGGAGAGAATCTGTGCCTATTGGTCAAGCTTTCTCATAAAAAAAGAAAACAAACACACGACCGCAGCGTACTGCAGTATATCTGAGTATAATAGCTTTTGTTCATGTCCGCAGTGCCGATTGCCGGGCTTCGGAAGCGGGACAAGGCAGAAAAAGACGAGCAAGGAGCAGAGAGGGTCCCACAAGGTCTGCTCCCAATTAACTCTGTCATACACTCACTAAAACAGTGGTCACCGAACTTGTTCCTGGAGGGCCGGTGTCCTGCAGATTTTAACTCCAACCCTAATCAAACACACCTCAACAAGCTAATCAAGGTCTTACTAGGTATACTTGAAACATCCAGGCAGGTGTGTTGAAGCAAGTTGGAGCTAAAACCTGCAAGGACACCGGCCCTCCAGGAAAAAAAATTATATATATATATATATATATATATATATATATATATATATATATATATATATATATATATAATTATATAAATAATGTAATTTTCATCTATTAAGCAGTGACATAAATTTGTCTTAGGTTAGGCACAACTATATTCAATACAAAGAAACACACAATCAACAACGAAGAACACACTTAGTCCTATGATGCACCTTTAGAAATATCAGATCTAAAGCACAAGATCCTGCTTGACCTAATTGAATTCTTATTTATTGTGTGTCAGATGAGCCTTCACTGCTCAGACAGAGCTCCAAAACCCAGTCAGCAGAGGCAATTATGGACAAGTACATCAGGTACATGGAGAAACGACCCGCACAGGCTGACGGAGCAACTGCTGGAGGTTATGTTGGACAAGGTTTGTCAGAATAAAACACAACACACGCTCACCCAAAAAACAAGTGAGCAGTATTCTTCCTTATATTCAGTGTTGTGCAGGGTGTCCACGTAGTCTTAAAGTCTTAAATAAAAAAAAATTAGGGCTTAAAAAGTCTTAAACTCACTGAAATATTGACTTGAAGTTCTTAAACATTTTAAATGGGTCTTAATTTTTCATTGTCCATGTAAAGCTACCCAATCAGGCCAACACCCATACAGTCACCAGCAATACATCTCAGTAAAACTTTTAACAAAACTCTGTTTTGTTGATTTGGTTACTCACAATAACATTTGTAAGCTCTCCATGTGTTTATAGACCATATGTGGTGGGGACACTGACCTGGACAGACTGTTGTACATTTAGTTTATGATAGTTTTTAAAACTCGTCAAAGAATGGGGAAAAAGTGTAACTGTCAATATGGTGAATGAAGCCCCGCCTACTAGCACAGGATCAGCACAGTGCACTGCCGATCAGCAGTCGCTAAATGGTGAATAAAGCCCGCCTTTTAGTACAGGAGCCAATTAACGATTGCTTTAGAATGACAATTCTTCTGGTGAGGGGCTCTGACCAGATGTAAGTTTTTAAAGATTTTGGTGATACAAACATTTAGAAATGAAACTAAATAGACAGTTGTTGTTTAGTTTTATTGGTTATTCGTATTATGAAATGTAATGGTAAGCTTGGCAAGTATTTTTGGAGAATTTGATGTTTCCCCATTCAAGCAGAATGCTCAAGCATACTGCCCGAGAGGCATTTTAAAGATGGCTGCCGAGTGAAATGACTTGCCTTAAAGCAAAGTGTCCAAACTCGGTCCTGGAGGGCCGGTGTCCTGCATATTTTAGTTCCAACCCCAATTAAACCGTCTGAACCAGCTAATCAAGCTCTTTCTAGGAGTGCTAGAAACTTCCAGACAGGTGTGTTAAAGTAAGTTAGAGCTAAACTGAGCAGGACACCGGCCCTCCAGGAAAGAGTTTGGACACCCCTGCCTTAAAGCCTCAAGTAATTAGAATTTTTTTAATAGGACAAAAAAAAATTCTTATGGTTTAACCATGTCTGAAATTTAACTCAAAACGCTCTTAAAAAGCCTTAAATATGATTTTGTGAAACCTACAGAAACCCTGTTGGAGATGAAATAGAATATTTTCTGGAATATAAGCTGTGGCTAAAGCAGTGGGTGTAATAAAGCAAGAGAAACATGACACTTATCCAAAGGCATTTGTACAAGTTGCTTTTTCTTTTATAAAGTGCTTTTCCCACTCACCAACAGACTTTCATAATAAATGCCGTTTTAAGTCCACTTAAATTTCTGGGTGTTTTCTTTTCTCAACTTTTCTTTTTCTCAATACTTTTAAGAGTTTGTTTTAAAGGGAGGGGAAATATTTAAGGCCACTGGTGGATGTTGCATGAAATTAAACAAGAAGATACAATATCTTTTTTTTAACAAATTTATCATCTAGAAGTATGAGAGTAAGGAAATAAAGCAAATGTGTTTGAGCAGAAGCGATCTCATCGGTCAGTAAAGACTGTTATATCGCATCAGTGTTGCTTTATGTTAAGTGTCTGTTTCATTTGCTTGCATTAATATTGGCTTGTAGGAAAGATTGATTTATTTACTGATTTATGGTAGAGTTTGGGTTTGCATTTTAATTAACTGCATAAAACTGCTTCAACTGATAAATTACTGAAATGTTTTTTTTTTTTTTTTGCCCAACACTGCTTATTTTTCTCTATACTCTCATTCTGATCAAAGTGATCAGTAGTTTGTTATGCACTGATTTACTTTGTTTTTCAGAGTCTTGTCGAGAAGGGGACAGTGAGCACGACTCTCCTAAAGATGAAGCTCTGCAGAACATCTCTGCTGATGATCTTCCGGATTCTGCCAGTCAGACGGCACCACCTCAGGACAAGACTTTCTCCTTCAGGTCTTTCAGACTAGCAAACTCTTACTCTTATAAAAAAAAAAATTCTGATCATAAATTGGCATTTTTATTTGGAATCCAAAACGGCAGTGTAGATTAACAGATCCTCTCTGTTTAATTTCTGCAGTGATATTAAGAAGAAGCTACGCCTGGCACTTTGCTCTGCAGATTCAGTTGTGTTTCCCATCATTCCACCTGCAACAACACGCAACGGTCTTCCAGATCATGCAGATCCTGAAGGTTTGTGTTGCTCCTATTATTGTACATATTACTGACCCTTCAAAACTAATTTATAATGTACAGTTCTTCTAGTTTATGCCACTGCTACATTATTTATTTATGTATTATTGATATTAAAAGTAACAGTAATATTATTATTGTTATATTAAATATAAATCATTAAAAGTTCTTAAAACATGATTATTTTTTAATATAATATTTATGTATTATAGCAATATGAAATATAACATACAATAATAATTGTTAATGTTGTTATTAGTAACATTAAGAACCACTATTTCTAGCCTACTCTTTTTATAACAGTCATTACTTTTATTTTTTCATTTATATTAAATAACAATTACATTGTTTTGTTATTGCATATATCTTGTATAACATTATAAATATATTATTGTAGTTCATTTTATATTCAGCTGTTAGGGTTTATGAAATACAGTACTACTACTATTATTAAGAAGAAAAAGAAAAATATTGTTTAACAATAGCATTTTAATAATAGCCTTGTTTTTATTCATTATTTAATTATTATGACTACATAGTCCTGTTTCAAAGGAAATTCCCTTTTAAAATAAAGTTTTTGCAGCCTTGTACACATGGGGTGAAAGTAGCTGTTGTGAGGTTGAAGACGCTGTGCATTGATGTCTGGCCCCTGTCTCCTCTCTCTCTCCTCAGACAACGAGATTGTGTGCTTTCTGAAGGTGCAGCTGGCGGAGGCCATTAACCTGCAGGATAAGAACCAGATGGCACAGATCCAGGAGACCACGCGCTGCGTCAGCCACCTCGACCCGCGCACCTGCAGAAAACTGCTCACTGCCATGGCAGAGGACTACAGGTACACACATTATTCTTTTAGTGTCCCTAGCTTTCGGTCTCACTGGGTCTGTTTACATGGATACTAGTAATCTAATTATTTCCTTTAAACTCAGTGAAAAAAAATGATGGTTAAGGTGTTTACAGTAGTTTTTGGAATATTATTTTTATGTTCCTATGTCACAGTACATTGACGGATTAATGGTACAAGACATTTTGTCTCCATGTGGTGCAAACTCGCATGTCAATATACAGTTTGTCTTTGTTGCGGTACAATATACAGCTTTATGTCAAGTGCAGTTGACATAACTCAAGTGCAGTTACTTATTTGTAGGTCCACATAATCTGTGCATGTAATTAACCCATCATCGAGTCTATGTATTTATATAAGTTTATATGTGTTCAGTTTTTAAAAAATTATTTTCACTAATGTTATTGTGATATAATAATAATAATATTAAAATGTCCATATGTTTTATTTACAATATAGTTTGTAAAGTAATATTTTTCATCTTTTAGTAAATATATTAAATGAAAGACTTGCTTTGTTTAACAAATAAGTGTATCTAATTGGATTTGCATTGTAAACATTAAATAAAAGTTCAAATGTAATATTTTTTATTTCATATATTAAGTTTTTATTTACGATACTCCCAAAATCATTCCTCATAAAACCACAGATTTTTTACAAAATTCTCTGCAGAAATAGCAAAAAATGTCTGCAGAGTCTGTCTGGCCCTACCTTTTTGTCAACATGTACATGCATATAGATTATGGCACAAACAAATTCTTGCTGTTTTGTTTACCAATAAACTTTTGAGGATTGCCTTGTTTATGTTTCCATGTGTTGCAAAGTAGTGTGAAAAGTCCTGCATAGCAGTAGGTGTTTTCTGATGTATAACCACGAAATTTCTACCAAAGCACAAATATTTCAGATCTACTTTGATTCGTGTACTTTAAGTATGATTTTTCTGGAAAACCATAATAAAACCTCAGTATAGTGATTAATACCACGAAAACAGTGGTAAAATCAGAATATTGTTGTCCATTTAAATGTGTTGATTAGCTATGATTCTATCAAGAGTTAAAATCTATCAAGAGTTAAAATCTCAGTTCTCAAACCTATTTCTGGGGTACCACCATTCTGCATATTTGGCCTGTACAGTGTGTCTCGTTTAACACACCTGATTTAGATAAGCTCATGTTCATACCGACATGTTAGCTGCTCTTTAGCTCTTGCATATGGTAAATCGGCTGATCTCAAAGTTAACTTCACTTTGACACAAGAGATTTGCACCACACTGTTAGCAGCACCGCCAAATGAAACTTCTGACAGAAATGTGAAGCATTATTTACATTATATCATCACATTTGCATACAAGTCACGTTACACTCCGTTTTATACACTTTGAATTGAACACACTTCATTCAAACTGCAGCCATGGCAGAATATCTTCACAGGGCACTTGTGGTTGATTGGAACAAACCTCTGAAGTAGTAAGAGAAACATGCAACATAGGCAGAGCGGTGGTAAGCCAGGCATAAAATATTTGCGAAAAAAATTCTGATTCCGTGCCATGTGTTCAGGACTGGGAAAATAACGCAATCGTTTCTGTAAACTAAGAAACCACTTTTTTTCCTCCTGCACCTTTGCTTGGGTGTTTTCAGATCATATGATGAGATGAGATCATTCACTGGTTCATCTGGTTACCCAATTACATTGTCTGTTAAGGCAACAATAACATGACTTTTGACATGACATGACGTATACATTCTAAAATGTATTCCATAATGTGTTTCCATAGTAGTTTCTGCACCTTTTTTAGCAGATAAATAGTTTTTTAAAAGTTAAAGTTTATGTAAACGTTTATTTACAATTCAATTTTTGAATTTAAGCACATCTTAGCATTTTCATCCAACATCCAAAATGATCCCTTTTCTCTCTTTTACTTGCACACAACTTAAATTGTGCAGACAATTTTTTTGGCAAGACTCAATAATGAGTGTTTTGTGCGATAGGAAGCGGGCTCCATACATCGCCTATCTGACACGTTGTCGGCAGGGCCTGCAGACATCTCAGGCTCATCTGGAGAGACTCCTGCAGAGAGTGTTGAGAGATAAAGAAGTGGCCAACCGCTACTTTACCACTGTCTGTGTCCGACTACTGCTGGAGCACATGGAGTCCAAGATGCTTGACTTCATTAAAGGTTTGCATCAGCCTCTGCAAATGCGTTTTTATAATTTAAGTCAAGTCTATTCTGCTCACAAAAGCTGCACTTTACTCAATTAATAATACAGTAAAAACTGTGAAATATTATTCATATGTAAAATTACTGTTTTCTTGTTGAATGTAGCTTAAAACTTCATTTAATTCTATGGTTCAAAGCTGAATTTTTAGCATGAAGCAAGACATTTTTTTTCAACATTGATTATGATGATTTGTTTAAATATTGATTAATCATTGAGAACAGATAATAATTGTTGATAATAATAATAATAATAATAATAATAATAATAAATTATGCCAAAAAAAATATACATCTAATTTTTAACTTAATTTAATATATATATTTTTTGAATTGTATAAATATTTTTGATGTTTTACAGTTTTTACTGTGCTTTTGATAAACTTCATGCAGCCTTGGTGAGCAGAAAAGACTTCTTTTAGAAACATTAAAACGTCATGCTGATCCACAGCTTTTGGCCGGTAGTGTATAACTGCTTGTACTTTCACATTTGGTGTTGATTGCTGAATCCTGAAAAATCCGGACCTTTATTAGTCATATGGTCATTCTGAGAGCAGAGGTGGATATTTGTCTCATTAGAGCTGAAGGTCTTTAATTACCTGCCGGCCACTAGCCAGCTGGTGTTCTCTGTCAGAGACCAGTTCAGTGCTTATAAAAATACATGTGTTTTTATAGTTACTAATTTTATGTAGTACTTACACATGGTTGGCCCTTCTCTGGCCATAGTGGCTCATTAAGTTTCTATTTGGTGTATTGCTCTGGTGTTCAGTGTATTGATAATGCCTGAGATTCTTGGAGATGTGGTGGTGGATTACATTCTTATTAATAGTGTAGAAACATCACTGTCTGACTATTGATTTAGTTCATTAAAAATACGGTACTAATCAAGAAGTTTGGAATTTTAACATTTGTTTTCAATTAAATCTTCAAGACTGCAACATCCTAAATTAGTAATACTTGGAAATATAATTAAAATTTAAAATAAATAAATTAATAATTATTGTAATATTTTATTATTAATAATGTTATATTTTCCAAACTTTTTTCTTCACAAATAAAGTACAACTGTCTAACCCTACATTTTTAAACGGTTGTGTAAAAAAACGTAACTACAAAGCACTAGATTCACACAGACATGCTATTTGTAAATAAAATCATTTTTTGTCATCAATGGACAAAGAAGAGAGGCTAGAGTAGCTGCAGATGGTTAAAAATCTACAATATTGCCATTATACGGTATAAAATGACCAAGGGTTTTTAACTGATATTTAATTGAATGTAGCGTTTGACTTGTATTAAGAAACCGTGCATTTGAGACTGACTCTTCCTGTTGTTCTGCAGCATTTCAGGGATGCACAGCAGCTGATGATAAGACAGCAGCCGTGGAGGATTTCCTGCGTTACCTGTATGGAGCCATGGCCCATGATGCCATCTGGCAGTACGCCAGTGAAGAGCAGCTCCAGGACGCACAGATGGCCATCGAACGCAGCGTCATGAACCGCATCTTCAAACTGGCATTCTACCCCAATCAGGATGGGGACATCCACAGAGACGAGTGAGTTTTACCTGCTTCCTTTTCTCTTTTAATTCTTTCAGTGTGTCTGAACCACATGTGCTGCATCGAACAATCTCTTCTCCAGTTCAATCCAGGCGAAATTAGAAAGTATCCGATGCTCTGATGCTCTAAACCAGTGGTCTCACCTCAGGGCCATTTTAGTGACTGACAAAAAAAGTGGACACCTGACATAATTGATGCATCTGAGGATAACAGACATGACGGTTTTATTTCAACCGTTACCTGTCATCAGTGATAATGCAAATCAGCACGTTTATCGTGTCACACATAAGCTGCTGAAATATATCTGTTGTTGTTGTGTGTATGGCCAGGCGTTAGACACTCACTCAGTCATTTTTCCACAGATTATATGTCGTCAAAACTCCTCCGTCAAAACAGCTTTTTGTTTCTTGTTGTAAATATTGAAGGGGGAGTTTAAATTGCTATGCAAATACGACAAATAGTAGGCAAAATAGTTATTATTCTGTCCCAACCAATTGTATTGTCCCAATAGCGTAAGAACAGCAGAAAGCAGTTTGGGTAGCTTAAGAGACTTCACTGGCAAAATAAAGCTTTAGTTAAAAAAGTGCACTTACGGACATATTTTTTACTTTTAAATCTGCGACAGAATTAAAACACATGTGTGTTACTCTCGACTGTACACTGAGAGAAAATAAAAGTAGAACTAATCTGAATGCAGTACTTTAAATGAAGACTGGGTGGTGGGTCTAAACCACAAGTGACTAGATGCGACTGCACAACAATGATTGAGGTCCAAAAGCATGTTTTCAGATCTCATATTTTTGATGTCAGTTGCGGGAGGGAGGAGGAGGGCGTACTGTAAATGGCCCATGGGCCGGCAGATTAAGACCCCTGCTCAACTCATTTTGGGCAAGTCCCCATTTTTTTAGGATGTTATTATTAATATATTAATCTCAAGGTTATCTATAAGCTAATGTGCTTCAAAATGATGACAACATAAGCATTTAAAGGATGTAAGCATTCTAAACTTGTTTCCTTTGCCAAAATTGATCAATGATTTTTTTCAATGACATCACATCATGCTTCAATTTCTCAACAGATCTTCTGACCAGTCAAATGCTGTGTTAATATCTGAAGTGTCTCACCCCCTACTAGATGCTACTGCTGCAGTTATTCACATGAAACCGAGCGTTTATACCTTAAATATTCACCTAAACACTCTCTGGCTCTAAAAAACACACTAGCACGCAGCAGCAACCGCAGCAATAGAGTATTAGTATATCCATCTCAGCATTATTATTACAAACTGTGGTGGTTATAAGTCAGATGTGGAGCGCACATACTTAAGAGCGGTGTTGTCGCGCGCCTACTGAAGGGCGGTATGTGTCGCGGGGGCACTTTTGATCATTTTGGAAGGGCACTTTCTATCCAAGACTAATAAGGGCATGTGCACTGCACAGGTTGAGCCCTATGTGTGCTAGTGCCTGAGCTACTCAAAATGCCCCACCCTGTCATTATATTGTTTTACTTAAAATTACGTCTTGCAAAAAAATAAAAAGCTGGACTTCAAGGGGACCCTTAATGTCCAATAACGGGATGTCTCTTTTATTCAAGGCTATTCCATGAGCACATTCAGCGACTGTCTAGAGTGGTGTCGGCCAATCATAAAGCTCTGCAGATCCCTGAGGTAACCATTGGCTGTTTGTCTTGGATGTATAAGCAATTCTAAATGAAGACAGAAAAGCAGTCTGATGTGTTTGTGTGAATCTGCGCAGGTGTATCTGAAAGAGGCTCCGTGGCCTTCTGCACAGGCTGAGATCAAGACCATCAACGCCTATAAGACCCCGCGAGATAAAGTGCAGTGTATCTTGCGCATGTGCTCCACCATTATGAACCTGCTCAGCCTGGCCAATGAGGATGCTGTACCCGGCGCGGATGACTTCGTCCCTGTGCTCGTCTTTGTTCTGATTAAAGTAAGTCAATAGACACGTCTGCAGTGTGGTAATGCTGCTAATGGCTTTAAAGTGTGTTGTGTGTTCTGTAACAGCACAATGATCATTTCTAATACTCGGCACAAAGGCCCAAAAGCATTGGTGTCTAGGTAATCAAATATCCTTTGGCGTTTAATAAAAATATGTCTTTAGAAGCCGATTAAATGATTTCAGCTCGTTCTGTGATTGCAATTGTGGCACATCCACAGCACACAGTGACTTAATTAAACTGTTTTAGGATGTAATGAAAAGCTGCACATCTTTTTAAATGCAGCTCTCTAAAGGCTTAAAGATTCTTTTCTTAAGCCTTTAGAAAGAGCTCCAGTATTACCTTGTCTTTGCCTCTGAGGTTTAAAAACTTAATAGCATTATAAGTGCATTATAATGCTCGAGGAAAGGTTTAATTTAAATGAGTTAATACTAATATTATTATCTATAACAGGGATAGGGAACCTATGGCCCGGGAGCCACATATGACTCTTTAAACAAAAATATGTGGCTCTCCGCCTTTCTCCCTACAAAAAACAATTATCTCACTAAAAATCCGTTTCCTATTAAAAATACAATTAAAATGACCTTTTTATTTTATATTTTTACAGCAAAATGAATAAGGATAAAAATAAAAGGACATTTCAATGTGCATGTGCAGTGCTGTGGAGAAAAAAAAGAAAAAAATTCTATAAATTAACCTTTCTTAATTCATGGACTTGTCAACATGTGATGCTTATATATCCCCAATCGCTCTTTTAAAAAAATGCATTTGGCAAAAAAAAAAATCAGAAATAGCTCTTTGCTGAGAAAAGGTTCCTGACCCTTGACCTATAATAGTATATTATTATCTGCATTTATTTGTTAAATGCAAAAATAAAAATGATTTTAATGTAGAATTTTATTAAATATTAAGTTTAAAATTGTTAACATAGTAAAAAGTATTTCATATATTATATATAAGCAATCAGAGCTTGACATTAACTTTTTTTGATCACCAGCCGCTGTGGCTAGTAGTTTTCCAACATTAATACCCGCTCACCATTTTCACCAGCCACAATTTTGTTGTTGGGAAAAGATATGCATAAATATTGACTTTGGCATCCTAAAATTACTTGTTTTAAATTTTGTGTAATTTCCACATGCCTCCTCATTCATTTCACTTTTGTGTGTTGTGTGTGATCTTGCTCAACGAGCATGAGCAAATGGGTTGTGCTTTCATAGTGTCGCATTGCAATTAGTTTTTATTTTACATGACTTTTGATGGCTCAACCCTAAGGATTTCATTTACACCATAAATAAAAAAGAAACTATTCTTAGCCTAAAATAACTGTAAGCAAAAGAAAGCAGATGAAAAACATACTGTGTGCGGTTAATGAAAGGATGATCACGTGAAAGTTTAAAGCGAAAGCAACCTGCTGCTCACAAAAAGACCTTTAAAAAATCTGGAGCATCAGGACTGTGGGTGCATGAGTGTTGCTTTTTGTCCAGTCTATTTAAAGAGAACCGATTAAACCAGTTACGTTTCCAGGCACAGATGCTTCTCGCAAGGAACTGTTTTAACTTTTAGACACTCGCGTGCATTACATCACCTGAATTCCTCCTGGACACCGAAACCCTCATCAGTGCGTCAGGATCGCTTGTGTCTCAGATCATCCTCTCATTCATTATTCACCTGCTTTCTTTTGCTCACGCGAACACCGTGATTATTGTCGTCCATCATGCTGGCCCCTCAGTGGGCAACAGTTATTGTTGAACTCTGCTTTTTCAAGAAAACTACGATTTAAAATTTACTTCAACCAGCCAAAGCGGCTGGTGGAGAGTAGCTGTCTAACCCACCACAGCTTAAATCTACACACATTTGGCAGGTGTTATTGTCAAGCCCTGTTAGCAATTATATATAGGCACAATCATTAGCCCTCCTGTAAAACTGTTAAGTGGTGCTTAATGAAGAGATGATTTTTAAATATATAAATTTTAAAATAATTTAATCATATTTATATATTTTTAAATATAAAATAAAATATTACCTCATTACGTGTGTCTTAGCCATGATGTTAATACTAAGTGTTTTACTAGTTAGTTTACAAGATACTAGAATTCCGCTTAAAGTTTAAACTAAAAGGTTGAACTAGGTTCATTCGGTTAATTTGACAAGTGAAAGTAACATCATTTTTTAAATCATTAAACATTTTAAGAATATATCATGTCATTTAAACTTAAAAAAACATTTTTTTAAAGAATGTAATGCATCTTTCCTTATTACTGCTTAATTTTTGTCAAATATATTCATTTTAAACAGCATTGTACTTAAAATGTTAAAGCCTCCTAAGTCTTCAACAACAAACTCAATGCACCAATCCATATTTTGTTTGCTTGATGGCCTGTTATTGTTACATGTGGGGTTTTTTTCCCCCCGCATCTCCCCACCCAATAGCAATTTGTGTCTGCAATGCTCACGCCCACACCAGATTTTTCGCAACTTGTAAGTGCGCTTGAATGTGTAAGCATGCACAATGTGGGTGGTCAGATGTTAATTCCCCCCTCTCGCTCGTTCTCTCCCTTCCTCCAGGCAAACCCACCCTGCCTTCTGTCCACCATTCAGTACATCAATAATTTCTACGCCAGCAGGCTGAGCGGGGAGGAGTGCTATTGGTGGATGCAGTTCACTGCTGCCGTGGAATTCATTAAAACCATCGACGATCGCAAGTGAAGCAGAACAGCCACCTGTATGGGCAGACTGTAGGAAGGAGAGAGAAAGAGAGAGAGAGAGAGGACAGCGCGGATGACTACTCTTCCCTTCATCCAGATCTGTAAAGGTGTACATAAATAGACACTTTGATCAAAAATTAGACAGGTTTTACTTCAACGCCGTGTTAAACGAATGAAATCCATGTTAGCAAATGGCAACGTTGGCATTCTCTACTGATCTCGCTTATAACCCACAACCTTTTCTGTAGTATTTGGGGAGCAACCGGGGCTTAGAATCAACTCTTTCTCTATATTAAAAGCAGATTTAGCAAGTAATTAGCTCTGTTGAAACGTAGCTATCAAGCGAAAAAGGGACCAGGAACTATATACAGATCATGTGTCGGGACGCTTCAGTGTAAATCGTGCAATCTCACCCCCGTTCAACGCTACCAGTCACATTTCCAGTCATATCGAAGAACGCATCACCTAAAGATGCTGCCAATGTATCAATGTTACAGATTGAATGAATCATGCCATTATTTTAACAGGGCAGCTTGTTCTATGAATGTAAACAGGTGTTGTCATTATTGTACATTCATTCTTTTCCTACGTTTTCCGGACGATTTGAAAATAAGGGCCCACATATTTATATAAAATAAAATGTATTTATTACTTAACTCCTGTATTTAATGTTTTATTATACTTACTGGCTGGGTTAATGCACATGGTTCGGTCGAGGAATCTCACAGAGAGCTGCTAAAACAGGGTGTCTTCACATTAGTGGATTAGTGCCTTGCTGATATTTGCGCTAACACTCGTTCCTTCGGTTTTGGTGGATTTTTCAGCACACCTAGGGTTCCTTGCATCTTCCTGAACAAGTCAGGTCAGATCTGTCACATTTAAGTCTGGCTTAGCGTAGTTATTAATAACAATCTGGTACATGCCAAGTTTAAACACCCCACAATTGGATGCTTGGTATGTCGATGCTTGTTTGTCTTACAGTGTGGTCTTATATACTAGTCTCTGCTGTTGTCCCTGAAAATATTGACCTAGTGTTTAAAGTCTATGTTTAAAGTTGGGATACTTTAGGTTTAAATCACTGTTCCTTTTATAATGCAGCTCCCAAGTCAAACTATGAATTAGGAAAACTATTGCTGTTTCTTTTGAGGTATACGCTCAGATAATTATTATTATATATTTTTTATTTTAGAGGTACAACTTTTTACCACCTGTAAAGGAACCAGTTAATATTATGCAACCTTTAGGCAGGGAAAAGGTACAGCAGCTCCCTTTAAAGATATAATTCACCCAAAAATGAAAATTTGCTATTAATTTACTGATGTAACCAAGAAAAATACATTAGAACAAGATGATTTTTATGCATAACCACCTTTCTCTACCGACACAACAGACAAAACAAAAGAAATGCCCTGAAAAAACCTGCTGGTCTTATGAAGCGGAATGATTGGTCTCTACTAAAAAGTGATGATCATTTACAGCACAAGCTTGTTCTTCAGTCTGTTGTGAATGCATTATATTGATGTATATCTGTAGCCTCTCTAGGTGCCAGTAGTTGTTGAGCAGGAGTAAATTAACAGCAACATTTTGTTTTTGGATGATCAGTCCTTTTAAAGGGAGAAGGTGATCGCTGCAGAGCCACTTTGGTGGAGCTCACGTCCAATAAGGCGGAGCTTGAGCACCAGCTCTTCCTCCAGTAACCCAGCAAGCTTTTTTTGTTTTAAAAGATGTCTAATCTAAAAAATCTATTAGACGTCCAAGACTAGTCATCAAATGAACAGAAATAATGACTACACATATAAAGTCTGTCTAATCTGTCTATTTGATGACTAGTTTTTGGCTATTCTTAAGTGTCTAATAGATTTTTACTGATAGCTCAAGTTTAGCCTTGTTTTTGCCAAGCTGTCTACCTTTAGATGTCTATTAAACACAAAATTGTTTGCTGGGAAGCTGTCTTAATGCGTACACCTACCCTGTCCCTAACCCCAACCCCCAGTGACATCAATTGTAGAAGAAATGCAGCAAGGAGGAGCTGGAGCTCAAACTCCCCCTTACTGGAGCTCAGCTCTGCCCTTGTGGCTCTGCGGTGAGTACAACTTGTTTAAAGGTACTCTCCTGGTGATAACCTGTTGTACGCCTAAAGATGCAATTTTTGCACATTTTGTTTTCCTTCTGACAGTGTGTATAGGTTTAAATGGCAAAGATCGCTTTAAAACTGGCATCATTAACAGCGCTTGATTCTTAGTGTATCGATGTTGCTGAGGAGAACATATACATGTTATACAGGCTACCTCATGTGATAATCCCGCTAGCGCAGATCCTTCATAACACCTTCTGCTTTTCATATTAAGTGAATTACAGCACAAATAGGAATATAGAATATCCTCCTCGCGTATGTGTCGGTAAACTCGCCTTTATTAGATCAGAATTTCCCGTTAACCTTTGCACACAAGTAGAAGTAGGGCAAAAAGAACTGTAGCCCTAATATTTAGTTGTGCTTGTCAGCAGTTTTTCCTCCTTTAATGTCATTTCATGTTACTTCTAGAGATGTGCAAACATCTGAAAAAACAAACAAACTGAATCATGGTCCTAAGGATAGTAGATGCACTTAGAACAAATTAGTTCTACCTCCAACTATGTACATAAAGGGATGAATCAAATGTTGTATTGCATTAGCTTTTATAGCCTTTAGAGCTCTGTATATACTTTCCCCCTCATATTTTCTTCTGATTTGAATGATGCATGACTCAATATTGCCGTATATTTCTCATTTGCACAAACTGTAACAAAGAGCATCAGCTATAAGACTCTTTATTTGCAGTGCACTTTGAAGCAACACTGATATTCTGTATGATATAGCAGTTATATTCTATATAACAGAGCTTTTATATTCTATATAAGTGTTATTGCGGAGTATCTTTGTTCGTACTTATAATATTCCAATATAATTAAGAAAGGAATGAGTCAAACTGGCCTTTTCTCTAATGTTTCTCAGTTTCTCTAATGTGGAAAGGGGTTTGCAGTGCTTGATTTTTGTTTTAGTCTGTTTTTTCTAACTAGATGGCTCTGTTCACATTGGGGAGATTAGTTGCCAAAGTAAATCACTGACTATATTTCTAAAACATGTACTTTTACTGAGACTTTTTTGTTGTTGTGCTATCTAAAATATGCACCGTGAGGGTTGTGTAATCTGTGGGAAACATTTGAAGACGACTAAATCTGAATTTCTTTCTGTACATTCTTGAAAAAGTTTTGGCGTTCAGCATTTAACCTGAAGAAAAATGGCGAGGCTTCACTGTGCTAAATATTCTAACCCAAAAGGCTAATATCAAAAAATCTTGTTGGTTTCTAAGACGACTGTTCATTCAACTAATAAAACAAACGACTATTCTACTCAACACCCTGTTTTTAGTGTGATTAACAGGTGTAAACAGGGTTTTACTGTACTGAACTGGCTTAGTATTTACACACTATTGTTGACTGACAGTAAGGTGTTTCACTCGATGTGTTTAAGAGCTTTATAATCCTATCCGTACCATGTTGGTCCACTTTTTTGAAGAGCATGCAAAGAGAATTATGGGTAATGGCTTGCATTTGTGAGCTTTACTCACTTGGGGCTTCTGTTGGGAAGGCATTCTGTGTGTTATGTGATTTAATATAAACCTGTACATAATTCTTTAAAAAACGATTAAAGACTTTTTTTCCGTGAAAAAAAATGCAAAGGTCTGTTTTTCGGCAAATGTCCTGATGGAATCATGTCTGATAATGTATGTTCTGGTTACTTTTAGTTTTAAAGTTCAGAAGGCCTGTTTTTGCAACGCTTTCTTAGGGAAATTCGTAACTTTTTTGATTTAGTGGCGAATTTATATGAATTTGTACGATCTCATTCATACAATTTAGTACAATTTGCTCATCCCCGATTGATGGTTAGGTTTAGGGGTGGGGTTGTGTGCCACGCCTCCTTTAACAAAAAAAAACACATTTTAGTGCGAATTAGCCACTAAACTGACAAAAAATAAAATAGTTACGTTTTCTCGTGAGATCAGGTTGGTTTTGCCTACTCCTGTAAAACCCAACAGTTAGCTTTATCAAATGAAATGAGTGTAGTTAACTCAAAATTTACTGGATGTTAATTTTACTCATTTAAAAAAAAAAGAGTTTTGAATTCAATGTTGAAGGAGTTAATTAAATTCCTCATTACTTCAACCAAAATGGAGTAAGTTCACAGTACTCGTATAGATTAGTTTTTTAAACTCAAATGGTTTGTCACAATCAGCTTCCTCAAACGGTTTGAGTTGCCCTAACTTATTGGGTTTTCCAGTACTCAGTTGGTTTGAGTTGCCGTAACTTATTGGGTTTTACAGTACTCAGTTGGTTTAAGTTCTTTTCATTTATTGGGTTTTATTGTGCTCAAATTGCTTCGTTTACTCAAATAGATAAAGTTTACAGTACTCATTAAGATTACTTTTTGAACTAAAATGGTTGTTTGCAATCGGTTTTCTCAAATAGTTTGAATTACCTTCATTTTTTGGGTTTTACAGTGCATGTTATAGAAAAGGCATTTGTGACCTTATTCTGTAATCATCATTATATACCTATTGTATTTCACTTGTTTTTTTTTCTCGCGAAGCAAATTTTTTAAAATTATGATATTCAGAATAGTGTAGGAAAGCCCTCTTTATGAATTCCTATAAAGACTTATTTCTTAATTTATTTACATCTCAGTCCTGACAGATCTCAAAAATTCAAGATTAAAGACTAATTTTTGACTGTTTACATCTCAGAAATGATATTAACCTCTTCTAATTCTGTCTTTTCTCATAATTGTGACTATTTAACCCTTCTGCTCTGAGGAATAAATCATAATTGTGTAATTCAGAATTCTAAAGACATACTATAAAAATGTTGTGTGTAATTGTCAACTACACTAATATACACTACCTGAATAAAGTCTTGACGTCGATCCAGTTGTAAGAGCAACAAATAATAACTTGACTTCTAGTGGATCATTTGGAAAAGTGGCAGAAGGTAGATTTGTCAGATCAATCCTCTGTTGAACTGCATCCCAATCATCACAAATACTGCAGAAGACCTATTAGAGCCTGCATGGACCCAAGATTGATACAGAAATCAGTCAAGTGTGGTGAAGGAAAAATCATGGTTTGGGGTTACATTCAGTATGGGGGTGTGTGAGAGATCTGCAGAGTGGATGGCAACATCAACAGCCTGAAGTATCAAGAAATTTGTGTCGCCCATTACATTACTAACCACAAGAGAGGTCACTCAGCAGGATAGCACTCCTTCTCATACTTCAGCCTCCACATCAAAGTTCCTGAAAGCAAAGAAAGTCAAAGTGCTTCAGGATTGCCCAGCCCAGTCACCAGACATAAACATTATTGAGCATTTCTGAGGTAAGATGGAGAAGGAGGCATTGAAGATGAATAAAGAATCTTGGTGAACTACAGGAGTCCTGCAAGAATGCTTTCTTTGCCATTTCCATATGACTTATTAATAAGTCATTGCAGAGATCTATGGATGCAATTGTCCAAGCTGATATTAATCTTTTTTCCCACTGCACCATGACTTTAAATTCTATGCTGTACATCATACTGCTATGTCAGACTTTACTGTCCTAATTAAATAATTAAAA